ACATACATTGGTCAATCCTTATAATATAAGGACATATTAAATGGGTTAAAAATTAAATAAATGTAAAAACTATTAAAACGTCTTCATAAAGCTACGATACGGTTTAAAATTTCATTCGATATCAGTTCATTCATTCACTAATTCCTTCATTCATTCAGTAAAAGTCTAGAACATTCTTCCATGTATCGTTCGAACATAACTTGTAGTGTAAAATAATTGCAGTACAAATTAATATAAATTCTTTCAAACAACCAATCAATCAATTCTAATTATTATGTAGTGATGTATTGTTAGTACCATTCCTCATTTACACCGTCGCTTTTTTATATTATTTAATTTACCTATTAATTTAATACATTTATACCAATATTTTTTTTGTTAGGTCGAAAAAAGAGCTCATTCGTTGTCATACACTATATATAGACAATTTCCAAAGAAAGAAGAATCAATATTGATATATAGTCAAATTAATAACTATAAAAAAGTTGCGTTAATTAATACACGCAACGAATTCGTCAGCCTTGTTTAGAGTGCAAATATATTACTTTAACAGAGCGTGAACACGAATTCTATTATCTAATAATAATCACTAGCCATATATCCTGACTCTGCTTGTAATTGAAATTCTCACTTCAATATATATTATACATTATAAAACCGAAGGTCGATTTGTCATTTACCATTAGAATTAAATTCAAACGTTGATAAATTATAACATTATGTTTGTGGTGTAATTGATTTTGTACAAACTCGTTTAAATTATTATAAACAAAATATTATGAATTTGCTTAGAATATAAAATTGAATTATTCTAGATGTTTCTATGTTGTAAAATATCAGTTAATTTTAATTTGCACACATATTGTGAGGGGATTCCTTGTTCTTCAATGCGTATCTATGATTGTGTGTTTTTTCATAATTAAACTAGAAAACTAAGTGACATTTTCGTACGATTTAATTAGAGTAAATAGTTATCAACCATCGCAGCTACTTGTGGAATGAGAAGCCAAGAAATCAACCAGTATATAAGATGAAATCCAAAACCATTACATCGTTTTTGACATACAACTACAAACGCACACACAAACAAACACACACACAAAATAACATCCTTTCAACATTGCCATGAAAATAAAGTTGAATACAAAATATCATATTTAGTTTCTAATCACAAACATATGTGATATATATTTTTTGTGGCATCAAGATCAATTTAACCATATTTTATCTCAATGTATTGATGTCATGTTATTATTAATTTTATTGACTTTTTTTTCTTGACATTGATCTGAATGGTCATGTACATGCAATATTAATGTAGCTAATAGGAAAACGTATGTGTTCTTGGAAGTTTATTACATTACATTGCCAGTCTTCGGATAATACCGCGTATTTACTTTGTATGGATGACTGCCAAAAAGTTATGTAAGCCTTAGTCACTATGTCATTGTTAACCTACAAGCCAAAAAATAATCTAAGTTTTTCGAATGCTAAAGCGACCGTGATCACGAGCAAGTTAGATGAAAGTGCCTTATAGTAATACAAAATTAAATAATGCGTGTTACTAAAACTTTATTTGTAATTGAATGAATACACCCAAAATCTAATTTATCTACAAACCAGAAGCTTTAACGTATTTTATACATAATTTCTCCAAAATGATTGATTCTTGATAGTGCATCCTGAATATAAAACAAGATGCGTATCTATTTATATTGGAAGAAGGTTACTAGAACTTAAGTCAAAGAAATCCAAAGAATTCATTGATATAACTTTCATTATCACATACGAAAATTAATAAAGAATTTATCAAACTTCGTCATTAGTATTAAAAACGAATAAAAAAACTCTGCACTTATAATTCTGGATGTATAATTTGCTATTTGAAATATTTTGTATAGTAAGGATATAATTTTTACATAGGAACAGAATTTTTGTGACAATTTCTATGTATTAATGAATTTTGTCAGAGCTCATCGCTTATTAGAACTACTCTAGATGCTTTACCAATAGATTGATGAAGAGCAATACAAAATTGCAAAAAGTGCTTTATTATCTTAATTATTTTTTTTCTTTTTATTTATGTCTTTTTATTACATATATATCTATATCAAATTATACATTACTAGAAGACCCGGCGAACTTCGTATCGCCCTATAATCAAGAAATATCTGTTACGTTTTTTTATTTATACTTTACGAGTTTACCTATTAAAGCCATAAATCTCCGTGTTTTGAAGTGTTATAGAATGATTGACATATTAGTTAGTTGTCAAATAAAACGTTTGTATGAACAACTACTAATAAATTATGAATTAATTAAAAAAACATTGTCCAGCGGACAAAATTGTGAATCTAAATAATACCCGGATCCCCTTGAACACATACAAATAATTCATCAAAATCGGTCCAGTCGTTTGAGAGAAGTTCAGTGACATACACACTCACAGAAGAATTATATATATAAAGATATTGCATAAAATTAATCCCTACTAATATTATAAATGCGAAAGTAACTCTGTCTGTTACGCTTTCACGCCTAAACTACTGAACTGATTTTAATGAAATTTACTACAGAGATGGAGTTGACCTTGAGAAAGAACATAGGATAGTTTTTATCCCAGACTTTTGAAAGGTTCTCTTGGAAACGCGATATAACCGAAATCCACGCGGGCGAAGCGGCGGGCAGAAAGTTAGTTTTAAATAAGCTAATAAATTTATTAAGTTTCATCATGTTCTTATTCTACAACCAGCTTACCAACAGAGATGTGTACCAGTGGTTTTAAGATTGACTAGTAGAGAATATTACAAGCACTAAGTAAGGATTTCTTCATCGTTTAGACGAAAAAAAAAATATAGGAAATAACTAGTAATACATATTCTACATAAAAAATGCTTCATGTACATGTCAAAAGAATCTCAATAGCTTAGTTCTACGTCAATCTCAAGACAAAACAGTTTTTCTTTGGGCCCAACAAAAGCAAGTGGGTCATGACAAATCCGCGTAAACCAAAACGTTGTATTATTAGTTTCGACCAAATATTGCGTGAGACTCATTCGCTCGAAATGGATTTATATTACACCCTGATTATAATATTGGAAATATTGAGAGACCTTATATTTTAAGAATTTTACTTAAAGTAATAAATAGGTGAAAATATTTATTACAATCAAGTAATCTTAATGCGTTCGCAATGTGTAGAAATAGACTTAAAAGTTTCCTTTGGCTTTAAATATTGATACTATATTAGTAAAACTAAAATATTTATCATGTAACGACAAAAAAAAAAGGCAAATACAGATGAAATTCTTATAGACATCATTGACATGACCTAAATGGTCTTATCCAAGTAAATGTACTTAGCTTTATAAGTGCATCGGTTATCATTTATAATATTATAAAAATTATTATAGAAACTGATACATTCTAAGAATTTATGTGTATATATTTTTTTATCAGAATTCGTAAGATAGCAACCGAATCCTTGAATTTAAAGATCACTTAACCGTTCGTTACGGTGTGATAGGAGGTAACTGGAACGTAACATTTAATATTGCGATGTGTGACATTTTTTTTTATTTACCAAAAGCTTCCTGCTCCGCCCTTTTGATTACTATTACCACATACAGATACAAAAAAATAGATATGTTTTTTCTAGTATTAATTTTTTATATGCAACTGACATTATTGGAATGGAATTCATTTTGGCTTTACAATACAAATAGATGAAAAAATATTTATACATACTTAAGCTCAGTACGTTACGTTAAAATTCAAACTTCAAAACACTTAAATTTTTGGCGAAATTATAAGTTTCTGATGTAATATAATTTCGTTCCTATAATTCAAATTACCAAAAAGTATTTACTGATACAAAAAAATGCTTTCACCCTATTCGAAACGCCAATGTCACAAGGATTCGCGGTTGACGTGTGACATGTGTATTTTTTAATTATAGTAAATAAAAAAAACAACAACAACAAGTACCAACTCCATAGTGGTATATGCTTGAGGACTTTCAATAACGCTGGGAGCTATAAAAGACGTGACTCGCAACATCACAGCATTCAGTAGCTATCGAGCAGTCTGACTAAGAAGTGCACGATGAGATTTCTGGTAAGACTATCTTATCAGCTGTTTTATCTTATCATATCTTGTTATCAAAATATATTGTGTATATTTATTATTGTTATATATTCATAATCTTTTTATTTTAACCGATTTCAACCGGTTTTTGGACGTCAATGCTTATAATATAATAAATGACGTATCAGTGTTGGTTTGATACTTAAAAATTACATCGCGTACATATGAAATGTCATAATTCATTGTTTCGTGTCCGTGTAACCTAGAACTTTACTGATTTAAATTACAGTGAAATGCTTCAATTTCGCAATGTTCTTCGACCACATACAGATGACCCCAAGTAGTCGTGTAGAATAAACCTTATTTATTTACAATAAAGATTAAAATTCGTATATAATTTTCGGTTGCGGGGACCAAATTATATAGGTTATAATTATGAAATATTCTTGTTTTTACATATATTTATTTGTGGCTACGGAAGCAGTTTGTGACTAGGAAGCCATAATAACATACAATAAATAGTTAAAGCAATGCCATACCATGTGGGCGGCATTCCGAATTCTCCAAGAACAATAGCGCCCACGAAAATAACGATCACAAGCCCAATTAAATATCGCGTTATAATCATTATATCCGTTAGCAACTAATTAAAATCAAATTCGCATACATATAATTAATTTTAAACATTGTTAAAATACATAATTACCGTATCATTATACCAAACATCCGTAGATTTAACGTCTTATTTGTATGCAAAGTGCGTAACAAACGAAGGTTACCGTACCGTTTTAGAGATATTTCATACGCATTCCCGAATATGGTATCTAATTGCAATTATGTTCAAGAGCTCACGGTTGGTGGCTCCAAATGATTGCTAGGACACTAATGTATATAAATTTCTTTCTCTTCACCAGATCGCTTTTGTTGCCATCCTCGGCTATGCTTCAGCTAGCGCCATCCTCTCCCCCCTCGTGGTAGGAGCCAACCCTGGTGACGTCCAGGCTGCAGTCATTGACGCAAACGTCGCTGCCAGGGACGCAGTCCGGTCGATCGGCGAAGGCCAGGCCAGAGCCGCTGAAGCCGCGATTCAGTACAACACCGAAGCCGTCCGCCAAGTCGCTGAAGCCAACCGCAACCTCCAGGAGAACGCCTACTGGGGCAGCGTTGCCGCTAACCAGAACTTAGTCGCTGCTGCTCAATCCCAGGTCGCTGCTGTTGATGGTGCCGCTGCTGCTGTTCGTGCTGCCTATGCTGGAGCTCCTCTCGGTTACGCCGGTGGTCTTGCTCTACCTTACGCCGCCGCTCCTTTAGGTTTAGCCGGTTTGGCCTACGGAGGCATCCACGGCCTCCGCGCTTGGTAAACCCTGGATTGCTAGACGAGTGACGAGATTCGGGAGTCATGATAATGACGTCCGAATCATGACTGTTTGCGGCAGATGCTATGTTTACATGAATTCTGCCACAGCAGTTCTTCCACTCTACTAATAAATGGAAACAGATTGCTCAACGGATTTTTTTTTAATAAGGTCTCAGTTAGTAACTCTCTTTCTCGTTGTACATAAGTGAATCTCATGCCATCACTGCCAAAGTGTAAATAAATACACATTTATACAAACAAGATGCATTTTTTATACATTTATCCTTTCTTTCCTACCCCTATTAGTGTATGAATTGACAAACAAAATTAATAAATAATTATTAAAACGTTTAATCGTAATATTAAACAAAGTATACATCATGTTATGTCAGTTTAAGAAAGTAATTCTTTTATAATTAAACGATTTAAATTCGTATACACTAATCATTGTGTATATATAACAATAACTTCTGGCGGAATCAGTAATCTCGGACATTTTTTTAATTTTTAGTTCTATGAAAGGAAGAATTTTATGATAATAATTTGTCTGAGCTCATTACTAATTTATTATCTTTTAATAGCTTTTCATTATTTAAAATTAAATAAATAATAATATCAATCAATTCAAGTACTGAGTTTCAGCCCAATAAATTTACATCAATTCATTTAGGGTTCAAAAATTTCTATAAAATCAAACTAATGAACAAATGAAAATTAAGACAGAATTTAAAACGACATACTCATGAAAAGTCATCGAATTTTACTAGTATACAGAGATTATTCTGCGTATAAAAAGCAGTACACGTATTTAGATGTCCTAAATAATCTGGTTTGTAATTCAATGTACCAGAGTTGAATGTGGATTTTGGTCTTCATTTAAAAACATGCAATATGTAGGCAAATACGTATATGTATATTTCAAACTAGTAGTATATTGTGAGTAATTTTCCAAGGAACAAACAAATTTAATAATTATATATGAGATTTTCGTGTGTATTCATTTAAATTAATGTAAGTTTTTCATATTTTATAGCTACATACTCCCGACGTTTCGGTTACTTTACAGCAACCGTGATCACGGACGGACGAGATGACAAAAAATATGATAATTTAAATGAACTTATTTAAGGCATTTTGTTATGTATATATGTATTTAAATTCATTGTCAATTATCGCTTATTTCATAATGATACAATTTTTTGAAAAAAAAAATAATTGAATGATTTTATATTTTTTATATATAGACTTGGTTACCAAGACAGGTATAAAATTTTGTATATATTTGAGATTTTATTTTATCGGAATGCCATAGCACCGTGAAAATCTCGTTGTCGCCAAGTCAAGAACTGGTGAAGGCCAGAAATATAATGTAATGAACGATAAGGAGTAAGACATAAGATTTTTAATTAAAGCAAAGTTAGCAACAACTCACTATTACATAAAATTTTCACTTTCAAAATTACACTTCTTCTTCTTCTACCTGGCAATTTCCCAGCTTTAGCCAGGGTCTGCCTTACATGTTATGAATAGTTCTGGCTAATTGTTTTTACGACCGGCCGCCTGCCTGACATTAACCCTCTTTGGGAATGCATTAATCAGTGATGTCTAAATACTCTTAGAAAGTACATATGACTCGGAAAAATCACATTGGTACTTGCTAGGATCGAACCCGCGCTCTCATGCATGAGAGACGGGCCTTTTAACCACTAGGCCACCACAGACTGACCGTAGGATATACATAGTTTCCAAAGATATTAACACGTATATACGATAGAAAATCAGAACCAACATTTGTTGTAGTTATGCAAAAACAATTCTAAAATATAAATCTTCAACTCGCTCGTAAATTATCTTGAATATTTTTTCCAATCAACCACAGTTTTCTTGTTACCAAGGAATTCCAATTAATATCGGAAATCTAATTTCATTTTCATTAAACAAACATGTTTCTGTTGTTATGCTGTGAGTGGATTAATATTAAATAGTAATTCATTTATATATATATATATATATACAGGGTGACTGGTGAATTACTATCAATATTTAAGGAGAATACTCGGTACATGATTCTCATTCGAATTATGTAAAAAAAATAGGCACTTAATTTTTGACAAAATTTCCGTATAAATAAGTAAAGTGTTGACACGTTCCAAGTGTTCAAGTGTGGACGCGTGCGGCGGCGTGCTGATACAACACTACGTCACGACACGCGTATGTGTGAGTGTCAGTGTATACCTAATCTGTAGGGTGTTCACACGATGCGTAATTAATTACATAACTTTTGGTTAACTTTACTTAGAAGTTTATTAATATTTATGTTATATTAATTTTTATTTCGTCATATATGATCGTCAAATATCACGTCCTCAAATATCGATAGTAATTCACCAGTCACCCTGTATATATATTGAAAACATATGTAATCTTTTTTATTATCTTTGTTATTTGTTGATACTTTAGTGCAATAACCATTTCGGACTTACTTATAATTTATGTTCTTCTAGAACAGAGTAACGAAAGGTTAAAATAGTTAAGTTAAAAGTGTTTTTTTAGTAAATTTGTCCTGGAAATGACTTGATTGTCATTCCAGCAGATGGTAGGTAATTAAATATTAGGTGGTAAAGATATTATGTCATTTATGTTCTACTTTTTATTATTGTAATAACATCTTTTAATGTAGGAGTCGGAACAATATATAAATATTAGTTAAATTAACTTATGATGAGATGTTTGAGAGTTTTTCTTGTTAAATAAGAAAATACTAGATTGTGATTGAATACGTTAAATTAAGGAATATTCCGGGAACTATAAAAATATTGTATAATATTCAGTCATTTACTGAAGTGGCTTTATTACTTTTCGGATTTATTCTTTTGTTTGAAAGATTTAATCCTTAAAATCATGCAAACCCTCATTATATATGTACATATACATTGATATAATTTTTGTATATAAAATTAATCAATATTTAGCTCCCTACATTTACTTTCACTTTCTAATTACTTGTATTTTTTATCACCAATGTTGTTTATTAATTAATTCATAATAGTTATAAATATTGACAATAATTAATTGATTATTTCAACTACAATAGTAGAATAGAAATGTCATTATGTTTAACATACAGTGACACTCACACACACACACACACACATTGAGAGCACTTCACGTATTAATGTATTATATATATGTGTATATTTCATAAAAATAATTTAACGGATTCGTAAAGGTTTTTATACAAAAACCACCTTTATTCTCATCTACATAAAAACTTATTTTATAATAATAACTTACTTTAGTTACAGTAGCAGTTCTCCACATACCTGCAACAAAACAAACGACAATGTATTCTTGTTTGGACGCAAATTGTGATTCGAATCAAGAAATTTATCAAAGAGATATAGACGGTAAGATAAAGTCAATAAATGTCAGAATTGAATGAATTGAATTAAAAATAACAGTATTACTGATTGTTCTCATGTTCATATTTGGATGATAAAATTAATATAATTATGAAACATATTTTCTTTTATAAAATTTGTTAAAAAAAATTATTCTAACCATATAAATTTATATAATATAGTGATTACAATTTCTGAGTTAATTCTTAAAGTTACTATTTTAAGTATTTTAGCGATATATATACATATATGTATATATTATTTCATTTTTATATATGTATATGTCAACCCAATTACTATTTTGTCCTTATGAAGATTCATCTCAGGCACTAAGATCGTACATAGCTGTAACTAAGAACTTTCCACAACAACATGGGCCTATACAAAAGATATTCAAAACATATATAATTCCAGATGTTTTCCCGTATTTAAAAAGAGTGGATAACACCAGGAGCGATAGAAACTTCTGGAAACGTCTCCAACAAGATATCACAGTCCTTGCTGAGGAGAATAAAGACGAAAAGAGTATTGAAAAAGCGAAAAAACTTTTCCTTCCCATCGCCATAATAGCCGGCTCAGCTATAGTAGCAGCTTTAATATCGAAAGATAGTAAAAAGAAATTGAAACATACATCGAAATTTAACAGAAATTTTGAATACCTAAACAAAAAACATAATATTATGTATTGAATGCTGTTTTTTTTATTTTCATTTGAACGTAAACGAATAATTATACATATGAGTGCGTGCATGCGTGCGTGTGTGTGTGTGTGTGTGTGTATATGTGTGTGTGTAATAGTTTCATATATATATGTATATAATTCTCAGTAACTATAAATCCTCACAGTTTTTTGTTCGAACCAGCGTGTAGGTGATTTGTGTTACACTGAATTATGTAGCATTACATAAAGATATATCAATGATTTTTATTATTTATGACGGAGTATGCACAATACGTTGTGTAAAGTGCCTTATTTTGGGAAAACTAGTTGATATTTTGGTTTCATTTCTTTCATGTTTGTATTTAAATGTTTTCGTTTATTTGAGTGATTATATTTGGTTGATAAAGGTTAAGAATTTGAAGAGAAGATACTCAATTCATTTGACAATACATTGACGATATGTCGTTTGAACTATGTAATTTTGTGAAAGCTGTTTGTTTGTTTGATTAAGATTATTTTAAGTTTCTAAGTGTATTCCTTATTTCTTTTAATTTGTTTGATTGTATTTAGTTGATTAATATTGTGAATGTAATTTAAAAAGTAACTCAATTTATTATAAAGAGCCGACGCTAACGTCAGTTAGATTGTCGAGTGGGGTTGCGAGAGGCGCCAACTTCATAGTAGTGAGCAAGCATATAAACTGCAGCAGTCACACTGCAAGGGTAGTGCTCATTTGGACGTAGTGTTGGACGCACCCTCGGAAATCCACGTGGCTCGATTTCATGTGTTAATCAAAAAGCAAGAAGTAAAGTGAAGTGAAGTGACTTTAAAGTGTTGTGAAGTGTTTTGTGAAGTGTTAGTGGTTAGATATCAAATAAGAGTGAATTATAAGACCCTAGTGGACTCGGCGATCCGACATCAGAAGTTGGGAATCACCCAGATACGCACACTCGAAGTTGGAGTCCAATTCTCCAATCCGAACACGGCAAATGGAGGAAACTTTTTTTTCATTTACAACATCGTTACATGCTTAAATTGGAGGGCGCCCAAAGATGATGCAACGAAGAGTACCGCCACAGAGGACTGCCATATGTTACCGATGTGGACAACCGGGGCACATAGTGCCTACGTGTTCAACTAAATCTGGGAAAACTGTTGAACAACCAGATCCGACCGAACGGCGGGTAGATATCTGCACCGTCAGTCCTGCTTCAGGAGACCATTATAATCTGGGTGAGAGATTTCCTTTTTATTTTGATTATTTGATATTTGATTTAATTTTGATATCATAATACTGTCAGGTATAGGTAACAAAAGTTTGGTGTGTCACTTACACGTTTTGTAAACGGTATTGATCCAAAACTACAACATTGAGTTATTGTTTCACGTTGTTCCTGATCAGTCACTTCCTAATAATATTTTAGTAAATAAAGTCGTGTTAATTACTCCACTTATAACTCAAGAACGGCTGAACCGATTTTACTGAAAATTGGCAGGGAGGTTGTTTAGAGCCAGGAAATTGCAATAGGATTTTACTTTTTATCCCGTTCGACAGCATTCCCGTGGGACTTGACATGAAACGTCAGTAACTATTAAACGTGGAATAACGAAACACAATTGACAGCTATGCAATTGACGTATAATGACAGATATGTAATGACGTTTTACATTCGTTGGAAAGGTCTCGGGCTCCGTGAGGTTTATAACAAAAAAAAAAAAAAAAAAAAAATTAACAGAAAAGCGTGAATATCTTTTTTTTTCACATACAGCATAACATGTACTACAAATCAATATTTTAAGTAGATGGCGCCGGTTCATGATACATTGTGCGATAGCTAATCATTGTTCTTTGCTCAGTTAATTTCATGTGACAAACCGGTATTGTTTGTAGTTTGAACTCTTAAAACCATTCAGTATTTGCGGGATAAATTTAGAAAATCATTGTTTTTCACATGGACGTAATATTTTGCGTGTTCACGAGTTTGGAAACCATCCGCTTTATTTGTGTTAAAGTTAGACAAAAAAAAAAAAAAACGATAAATGTGGTTTACGAAGGACCACTTCAATGTAACGGATAATTTGCGGGTTTACTAGTTATTAATAACACTAAAGTCGGCAGAAATTCAAAGTATTTTGTTGAAGGTGTCCCCACAAGTAGAGTTACATCAGGCCAACTAGAAATAAAATTAATTAATCCAAATCTCACTGTTCAACGTCGTCTCTATAGATTGAACATAGATGAACGAATGGTTGTAAGAGAAAAATTTCGTGATCTCTTAAATGCCGCAGTCATATGTGAAAGCTATCCTCCTTTTTCTAGTCCTATGTGGTATACATCTTGTCAAGGATTCTGTGTGACCTTGGCAAAGATCTGTGTGATGTATCTTGTCATGGATTCTGTGTGACCTTGGCAAAGATCTGTGTGATATATCTTGTCAAGCATCTGTGTGAACTTGACAAAGATCTGTGTGGATTATATATTGTCAAGGATCTGTGTGAACTTGGCAAATATCTGTGTGGTACACATCTTGTCAAGCATCTGTGTGAACTTGACAAAGATCTGTGTGGATTATATATTGTCAAGGATCTGTGTGAACTTGGCAAATATCTGTGTGGTATACATCTTGTCAAGCATCTGTGTGAACTTGACAAAGATCTGTGTGGATTATATATTGTCAAGGATCTGTGTGAACTTGGCAAATATCTGTGTGGTATACATCTTGTCAAGCATCTGTGTGAACTTGACAAAGATCTGTGTGGATTATATATTGTCAAGGATCTGTGTGAAGTTGGCAAATATCTGTGTGGTATACATCTTGTCAAGCATCTGTGTGATTGGCAAATATCTGTGTGGTATATATCTTGTCAAGCATCTGTGTGAACTTGACAAAGATCTGTGTGGATTATATATTGTCAAGGATCTGTGTGAACTTGGCAAATATCTGTGTGGTATACATCTTGTCAAGCATCTGTGTGAACTTGACAAAGATCTGTGTGGATTATATATTGTCAAGGATCTGTGTGAACTTGGCAAATATCTGTGTGGTATACATCTTGTCAAGCATCTGTGTGAACTTGACAAAGATCTGTGTGGATTATATATTGTCGAACCCGTATGTAAAGTCTATGTTAAAATCTTTGTACTGTGATTTTGATTTTCATATAAAAGATAATTAGTTCGTGTTGAGTTAGATGAGATATAATGTTTACAGTCTAATTAATTTAATTAGTTCAGTCAGGATAGCCGAGCGTTAAAAAATACCAAAATTATTTGATTTTAGTTTCTGATGACACACACACATAGACACACGAGGACGTGTGATATTGAAGGATGGCCGTGACGGAGTATGCACAATACGTTGTGTAAAGTGCCTTATTTTGGGAAAACTAGTTGATATTTTGGTTTCATTTCTTTCATGTTTGTATTTAAATGTTTTCGTTTATTTGAGTGATTATATTTGGTTGATAAAGGTTAAGAATTTGAAGAGAAGATACTCAATTCATTTGACAATACATTGACGATATGTCGTTTGAACTATGTAATTTTGTGAAAGCTGTTTGTTTGTTTGATTAAGATTATTTTAAGTTTCTAAGTGTATTCCTTATTTCTTTTAATTTGTTTGATTGTATTTAGTTGATTAATATTGTGAATGTAATTTAAAAAGTAACTCAATTTATTATAAAGAGCCGACGCTAACGTCAGTTAGATTGTCGAGTGGGGTTGCGAGAGGCGCCAACTTCATAGTAGTGAGCAAGCATATAAACTGCAGCAGTCACACTGCAAGGGTAGTGCTCATTTGGACGTAGTGTTGGACGCACCCTCGGAAATCCACGTGGCTCGATTTCATGTGTTAATCAAAAAGCAAGAAGTAAAGTGAAGTGAAATGACTTTAAAGTGTTGTGAAGTGTTTTGTGAAGTGTTAGTGGTTAGATATCAAATAAGAGTGAATTATAAGACCCTAGTGGACTCGGCGATCCGACATTAATAAGTTCACGTAAAACTTATTAGTATTTGTGTACGCGTTATAATTTTTTTTATACTACATACTCCCGACGTTTAGATTACTTTTCAGCCTTACGAGCAGACTGGATGAAATTTACCTTTTCAGCGCAGTAAATCCGATAATATCAGTTTTATTTAAATAATATAAATTATTTTACTTAGAAATCCTTTTGGTTATATTTTTTTAATTTTCAAAATTAAATACTCATAGTTTCACGTATTTTATTCAGACCTACATTAAAACTTTATGAATGAAAACGGAACAATGTCTGTATTGAATTGACGTTTCAACTCATGGTAAGTTTAATGAGACAATTCGCGAGGATTCTTGAAAATTTTACGAGATAAACTATTTCCTTTTTTCTACGCGTGTTTGTGGAAAACAGTATGACTTGAAATTCATAAAATTATTGTTTAGTATAATGATTTCAAGAATCTTCTTCTTCTTCTACGTGGCAATTTCCCAGCTATAGCCAGGGTCTGCCTTACATGTTGTGAATAGTTTTTGGCTATTTGTTTTTACGACCGGCCGACTGCCTGACATCAACCCTCTTTTGGGAATCAACATTAATCAGTGGTGTCTAAATACTCTTAGAAAGTACATATGATTCGGAAAAATCACATTGGTACTTGCCCGGGCCAGGATCGAACCCGCGCCCTCGGCGACGAGAGGCCGAGAGGGGGGCCCTTTAACCACTGAGCCACCACTGACTTTTTTAATAATGATTTCAAGAATATATGTATATATATATTTCTAGGTAATTTAGAAAACTGTCCACAACAATCCGTCAACTAGAAAACTTAATATTGGCACGTAAATTAAAAATTGGTAATTTAGCCACACATGATCAATTATCGCCACAGTGACTCTATATCATTAATTAATTTCTAGTCTAAAACAAGTAAAATAAATTAAAATATCAAAATCAAATAACCACCAAAACCGTTTTCTCGCTAAATCTCATCTGTGAACTCTCGGGTAATTTTTTTTTATTTATTTATTTTTTTTTTTATGGGAAAAGGGGGCAACTGAGCAGACGGCCTACTTGATGATGGGTAGTTACCGTTGTCCATAGACATCCGCAACGTAGATTTGCGGATGTGTTGCCGCCCTTCATTGGGGCAAAGGAGGAGGAAAAGGTGGGAAAGGAAAGGGTGGGAAAAGGGAAAGGGCAACCGGCACTCTCACTCACCGGACGAAACGCAGCCTTTAAAGACTACTTTACGCCGATTTTCTGTGAGAGGGTGGTACTTCCCCGGTCGAGCCAGCCCATGTTCGAGCTGTAGTAAATTGACTACAGCTAGGCTCTGCCACCTTACAAAAATTATTCCTTTATCTAACACAATGAAAAGTGCAGGAAGTGTCCGTAAGTCTTTCACAGATTAAGACTTAATTCTCTGTATGATACGAGTATACGAACTTTGTTTAAACGAAAATAAAATTCCAGTAAAAGGCAGTTAAAAAAAAGTCAAAAGCACTATTAGTAAAATACGAAGTGTATTTATAAAAAACAAACAAAGTTTAAGCTACATTTTTTGTAAGGACAATTGCTTGAATGTAAAATCTTTTGACAATGGATAGTTATATTAAAGGCTTCAAAGGTAGAATGTAATTTAATTGACCAAGGCTGAATTATATGTATAATTACACTACATGTAACTGTTATCGGTACAATTAAGCAGCATAAAATTATATTTTCATACACAGTCAGAATTTAATGCATTTCTATTAGAAATAAATTAGATAGCAACAATGACAATCTGATAATATGTAGATTATAATATAATATACATGTATATATTTTATTATATAAGAAACCTAGTATATAACATAGATGCAACATATATATTTTTTATTTTATAATTCGTACATAGAAATATAATAAAAGAGGGACAATTAAAAAGAATATAGATCTTTAAACCAGAAAGATCAAGAGTGGAAAAGAAAAAGATATTATATACTAACAAATCGGCAAGTCTGCTTATAGAAAGAAAATGAAATTCGTTTATAAACATACAGTCAACTTTAAAAAGTATAGTCAATTTCATATAGGTGGCGGTTTTCGAGGTGGAAGAATCTAGCTGTAGTCAAGTTACTACAGCTCGAACATGGGCTGGCTCGACCGGGGAAGTACTACCCTCTCATAGAAGATCGGCGTGAAGTAGTCTTTAATGGCTGCGTTTCGTCCGATGAGTGAGAGAGACGGTTGCCTTTCCCTATTCCCACCCTTTTCTGCTATTTTCCTATTCCCACCCCTCCCTATTCCTCAACAACCAAGGTTGGCAACGCATCCGCTACATCTATGTTGCAGATGTCCATGGGCGACGGTCACTACTGCCCATCAAGTAGGCCGTTGCTCATTTATCACCTTTCATATAAAAAAAGTGACAAAGATTATACCAAAAATCAGAGTAATATTTTTTCTGTGGTTGTAGCCTTAATTGAAATATTAATAAATATGATTTTGAATTTTATTTTAATATAAAGTTATACTAAAATATAATGATCACATAAAATGTAGGCATTATTTTCAAGGGTACTTAATTTATGTCAATATTAAATAAGTTCAAAAAATCAAGTACTTTTTTGTAGATAATTATTTTTAAGTTAATTTTCCATTTCGTATTGTAATAAAAATTAAAACAATTAATTAAGCTCCAACATCAAAAAAATATCGCTAAATATGTCCAAGGATTAGTTACAGAAAAATTAATATAAACAATTTTTTACAATTACACAAATTGATATTAAATTATAAGAATACATACATTGCTGGTCTGGTTAGGAAACGAAACAAAAGATTAAATCTTTTATATCAATGTATGGTAATTATTGAATTAATTTGCCTAATTAATAATAATTACATATATTGTATACACAAATCGTTTCAAATCAAAATTAGTCACGTTATTTTTTTCAAACTTATAATACTTGTGGAATCATATAATTATTTATTTGTTCTTAAACTGTTGTCTCTAATAAACGGCTGCTATAATGTATCTATTGATATATTGTAAGTGAATATTAATTTTAATTTATAGTATTTTCTTATACATATATGTATAAAATTCCCGTGTGGCGGTATTAGACAGAGAACTCCTACGAAACGACGGGACCGATTTTGATGAAATTTTGTGAGCATATTGAGTACGTCTGAGAATCGGCCAACATCTAATTTAGTAACTTAGTTCACTCTTAATTCGTTTTCGGACGAAATTTTTTGGTTTTACTTTTTATAATGTTTTATGTGCAGTAAAAATACATACAACCCAAAATTTTTACTTTCTTATCACCAACGCCTATTTTTTTATATGGCAAAACAACGTTTGCTGAGTCAGCTAGTATCATATAAATTTATTTCTTAATTAAATGGACTTTGTATTATTTTAATAATTATTTCATTAATTTCAAATCATATAGAGGCGGGATTGTTATTATATAAAGAGATTAGACATGTTGATATTTAATACTAATAGATTTTATATTGAGATCTAAGATTTTCGCGAGTACTCATTTCAATTAAACTAATATTTTTGGATTTATTACGCATTTTTTTTATTTTTGTAAACTACATACTCCCGACGTTTCGGCTACTTTACAGCAACCGTGATCATTAAGACGAGATGTGAGTCACTATTAATTTCATTTTAATATATTTCAGTTGCAGTAACATTTATCATCTCTATGACAATACAAGGAACATCTTCTGAGGAAAAATGTCTGAATCCTATAGACCCAGTATGTCACAAACAGGCATTATTTTTGAGAAGCTCGAATGGTAAGATTTGATATTCCATCTGCTTTAATTATTGTAATTTAGAATGCTGATAAAAATATCGTTAGTTTTAACTCATTTTCGAGTATTCTACGAGTATTTTTGTAAAAAAGATTACACGTCCTGATCACATATATAGCAGACGATCTCTGAACTTTCTGATGCATTAACTTTATATAATATAATATATAATCAACATACCATTTTAAGGTACTTTTAGTTATCAGTATGAAAGCCACAAAGTAAAAAAGTGGCCATAGTTTTACTCTTCATAATATATTTAGTATTTTTTGGTCATTATTGGTTTAAACTGATCATATTATAAGAATTAAATTTTATTTTATTTTTGTCCCTGTATGTAAATTTCTATTACAGCTATAGCTATCAACACGACGAAACCTAATAAAATATGTAAGTATGTAACATAAAACAGTGTACTTTTCATCTTAATAGTCATTTTGTATCCTATGCCTGTAACTTATTTCGAACTAAATTTTCCTCATAAAAATGAAAAAGTAGTTTTTTTTAAGCCTGATATCTGAACAATAACATAGACCCAATAGTTTTATAGATAATAATGAACAAACGAACAGGCAATGAATATGTTATAAAAATTTTCTTATACATATGCACCATATATTTAAATTAATTAGTAAAAAACTACAAAATAGTATTTAATGTATATAGATATTAGGTTATATATAAAATACATCTAATATTACTTTAACATTTACCTAATAAATGATTTTTCAATACAGATCCACGTCCTAGAGAGATAGAATTTAAACAAGTTTTACGTTCTAAAGGAGGGAAACGTAGCAGACGAAAAAAGGCCAAAAGAAATAAGGAGAATGAAGAATATGTTAAAATACACGAAGGTTTTAAGGACAAGACGTTCATACCTTTTATCATATTAAATACTGACGCTCAGATTTTAAACGACATTCTTAACCAGGAAATAGAGAATGAGAATCAACCAGGGAAGCGAAGGCAACGACGACGACAGCGACCACGTACATTATAATATGAGAGAAAACCTTTTAAATCTTCTGGCCTGGCAATTTTCCAGCCTTTAGCCAGGGTCTGCCTACACCTTTTAAATATTATTACACATTTAACTGATGTTCATTATGTTTTCAGCATTCATGTAATAAATGTTTTTGCTCGTTTAGAGTATTTTTTCAATCCCTATTCTTACAATCATTGAGAAGTTGCCGATAGTTGTTCATATGCAACTGAAGTAAAAAGATGAAAAAAAATTATTGAAAGTAAAAAAATACTTATATACATTGTACTGAATAAAGTATTAAAGTAAGGCTGTTTTAACATATATATACAAGACATTAGCTTTAATTACCTGAATTGATAAAAATTACTTCTCTATTCGATCTTTATTTTTTTTAATTAAATATCAATAAACATATTCTTTAAATATACTACCTTTTGCTTTCGACTGCAACCGCGTTAATTTCAATCAATTTCTATAACATTCCTCCCTAGAGGCTATAAAGAACAACATATTGTAATTTATTATATTTTCTCTTGCGATCGAACAGAATTAAGATCCTATGTCCGTCTCCTGGTTCTAAGCTATCTCTCCAACAATTTTCAGCCAAATACTTACAGCCGTTCGTGAGTTATAAATAGTGTAACTAACACGACTTTATATATAAAGATATACCTGTACTATGTGACTAAATGATTTGAGTCTAATAAACTTCTACAATACTTAGGTGAAAGCTTTACAAATTTTTCTAAGGAAACCTTCCTGTAGCGTACCTTCAACCAGTTTAAGAGTACCCAATGTAATAAATATACGTAACCAATGTAATAAAAATACGGAATAAAAAAAAAATTACATTAGAAAGCCAAGTTATATGAAAATGAAGCTATTATCACAAAATAATTTAAAAAATTGTTCTTGTTTTACGTAATAACCTTTTAAGAACGCCTTTTAATTGATATTTTAATTTTGTATTAGCCTTATTATAGGTCATTGTTAGATGTAGCTAGCTAAGTCTTTATTATTTCGGCAAGTCGTTAAAGAATTCAAATTAAGTTATTTATTAACTTATTTAAATGAAACTAATATTTTCGGATTTACAACGCGATATTTGTTTTTGATTATAAACTACATACTCCCGCGGTTTCGGTTACTTTACCGAAATTAAACGTCGGGAGAACGTAGTTTATAATCAAAAATAAAAAACGGGAAGTAAATCCGAAACTATTAGTTTCATTTAGGTAATTTTTAATAACCATTTATATGAAAAAAAACTACTCTTAATCTAACTACTCCAATATCTAATCTAACTACTGTAAATATACATAATTATATTAATCTCTTGCTGTGTTTTCCCTCTGAGATATCTGTAGACTTTTATCTATTATTGGAAGTAGGGATTACTGACGAGGTTAGCTTAATAACAATTAAGCTGTTTTATAATACCATAAAGTATGAATCATTTTAGTAGTAAATTAATTAGTATGCTTTAATAAACAATATTTTGAATAAGAATATAGAGATATGTATAACAAATGATTAGTAAGTCTAGACTAATTTATACATTAAAAGTACAATACATAATACATACATAAAAAATACAATATAATTTATGTAGGTATGGATTAAAAAGTTGGAGAGAATTTAATGAAACACGCTTTATTTAATGAATTCTAAGATTTTCGCGAGTTTAATCATTTAAATGAAACTAATATTTTTCGGATATACTACGCGATTTTTATTTTTGATAACAACTACATACTCCCGACGTTTCGGCTACTTTTCAGCAACCGTAATCACGGTCAGACGAGATGTGAGTGTCTGTCAGTTGGTGTTGTTATTTATCACTCTTCATCCGTTTTTTTTATCTAAAATATATTAAATCACTGAAAACGTTAAGACGCTTGGAATTCCATTAACGAAAATATATTATCAAAATTATGGCTACGTATATAAATATGTTTCGAAAAAATTAAAACATTTTGGCGGATATTTTCTTCGTATTTTTAACTACATTATTTCACATATAACCTATTTATTAATATTACCAAATTAACGATTTCGTAGTTAAATATAACATCTATGAGTATCAAATATTAGTTTTTAAAAAATATTACAATATGATCTAAAAAAAAATCAATTCCGGGGACTTCATCAAATCACAGACATATATACATATATAGATAAAATTCTCACATACAGAACCTATTTTTTTTGAATCAATATAAAAACTCAAATTTCCTTGTCAATACTAAAGTCAAGTTTGTTTCATTAATAATGTTATAATCGTTTCTAATTAACATTAGAGTCGGTATTCATAACATTTAAATTCATCATCAAAATACATTATTCTGGCTTTATTTCCTTATATTCTCGCTAACTGTCGACTATGGCGAAGGACCCAGCAATGATCCTTTTGCTATGTTGTAAGTGCTTTATTTATATGTTTTTCTGATAATATTTTTTGGAGGTATTTCAAGTTCTAAGAAATTCTTTGTATTGAATAAAACGCTTGTGTTCTTTTGGGGGTTCTTCTATATCCCTTTTGAAATAATATTTTTCATACCTAAACTTAATAAGGACGTATTTTGATATTTCAAAAGATATAGAAAAAAATTATTTCGTACTATTGTTTAGTGCGTGACAATCATTCAAATACTATAGCAAGAATCTTCATCCTGTACATCTCCTTATTCTACCAGATAACATTCTCAGTAGTTAGTCATATATTAATCATTATATCTGTTTTAGGTTTGTATAAATAATAGCTTTAATATTAAATTAATTGAAGCATATAACTCCAAAACCTTATTCAAGAAACTTACTTATTTTCTAAGGCTGATTTGACTTTAAATTTAGTATCTGTTACTATGTCATAATACTTATAATTTAGAGGTTCTCTCTTGCAGTTGTGGCAATAATGATCATCCCTACGTCAATGCAATCAACATTTTCAAAGGAAATATGTCAGTATCCTAAAGACCCCGCGTGCCGCAATCGTCAAGCCTTGTTTTTGAGAGTTTTAGATGGTAAGAAAAATTTATATTCAACCTGTTTTTGAACGCTAAAATTGTGTCCCAACTGATTTCAAGATCCTACTAAAAAATTCTGTATTGGCCCAATATTCCCTCAATGTGGTCATATCTGTAAAATTAATCTAGGAGTATTTAGACGTCACTGACATACGGTGAAGGAAAACATCGTGAGGAAACCTGGACTTATAGTTTCACAATTATAAGTTTGAAATCACCAACCTGTCTTGAGCAATCGTGGTGATTAATGCTCAAAACTTTCTTCATGTGAGAAAGAGGCCTTTGCTCAGCAGTGGGCTCTGATAGGCTGATGACACCAGAATATGTAGCAATTAGTAATTTAAAATTAACAACGGCATAGTACTATAGAGTAGCATCAAATTTATTTCATTGATTGAGGTTTAGATGTATTTTGTGCTGAATTTATTTAACCACTAAAACGATAAACAAAAAAAATCATATATAAATAAATAACAATTTTTTTTTAAATTCAGAACCATTCAAAGAAGATACGGAATATATACAAGCTTTACGTTCCTCAAGAAACCGTCACGGAAGACAGAGAAAAAGAAATTCTAGAGATGACATCGATTTGAATGAGAACAGGCCTCATAAGAAGAAAAGGCTGTTCATGCCCTTACTAATTATACAGATGATGACATCTGGAATGGATCTAGTTAGCTCTATTGTCGACAAAGTAAATACTTACGGCTAAATGTCTCTAAGGGCTGCCATCGAAATGATTGATATGAATTTGTCATGAATTGTTTAAATTAAAATAAAAAATTAATAAAATTGTTTGTTTCTTTGGCACCATTAATAAACCACATCTCGTCTGCCCGTGATCACGGTTGCTGTAAAGTAAACGAAACGCCGGGAGTGTATAGATTATAATCTTCTTCTTCTATCTTCTATATATATAAAAATGGATTGCTGTTCCTTAGTCTCGCTAAAACTCGAGAACAGCTGAGCGGATTTATCTTATCTTAGTCTTGAAATGTTCGTGGAGGTTCAGAGAAGGTATAAAAGCTGAAAAAAATTGATTCATTACTGGGAAAACTATAAAAACAGCCCTTTTTTATTTCCCATACAAACGTTTTTTTTTGACATTAGATTTGACAACTAACTAATATGTCAATCATTCTGTCGCACTTCAAAACACGGAGATTTATGGCTTACAGGTAAACTCCAAAAATATAAATAAAAAAACGTAACAGATATTTCTTGATTATAGGTCGATACGAAGTTCGCCAGGTCTTCTAGTCAAAAATAAAAATCGCGTAGTACATCCGAAAAATATTCATACCTTTATTACATTTGCCAATAAATTTAAAAAGAAATAATATGAACATAAATACTATATTATAAAATGGTATACTAACTCCTATATTTCGACAAAAAAAAATTGAATTATAATTAAAATTTGAACAACTTTAACGATGACGAATATATTCTACATATAAAAAAAAAAAATTGGAAAATCCTAAGATTAAAAAAGTTGTAATCCTATTTATATACAATAATTCCATGTATAAGTTATCGTATAACGAGTGACGCTAAACGAACACCAAACGGTGTGAACCAGAACATTCCACAAGGAATATAATTCCATGGAATTTCATTGTTTCATCCTAACATCGGGACAATCATGTAGTCTTAGGTATAGGTTATAAGTTTTAATATGTAATTCTTATTTTAATATACATATAAGTATGTTTCGCAGTTTTCGTGGAACCTCCGGTTGCCACCCTACGTAATTTATAGATTCCTAATTTATATTGAATTTGTTAATATATTAAAATTCATAAATACATCTCCATACAAAACCGATCGTTGTTATTACAATCACAGAACTATAGGTACTTAGCCTTCTTTTAAATGAAACTAATATTTTCGGATTACTACGCATATTTTATGCATTAACAAGATATTACGCGTAGTAATCCGAAAATATTAGTTTCATTTAAATATTCGCGAAAATCTTACTTCTCATTCATAACCTTCTTTTTTCCATTGAAAATAATTAAAAACTCAACCAAAGTGACTGTTCACTATTCCTACCTAAACATAAAATTGAAGTATGATTTCACAATATCAAATAAATAGATTTTCACTGAATGCACACGAAAGTACACACGACACCCACGTCATAAGGACAATTTGAAAACTTTTGCATGTCTATCTGTTTGTTACGGCAATACTCTGAATTGGCTGTACTGATTTCGATGAAACTCACACTGGTTTATTTATTATTATTTATAGTAATATAATATTAAATCTGTCTACTACAGGCACTTGGGTGAAAAAACACTTGGAATTTATCAATATGCTACAGTTTAAATGCTGAAATTTACTTTAAAATAAACCTACAACGATTTATATATTAAATCTAGGAAATAAGATTTTAAGAGGTTTATTATATTGTTTTATACCTATAAAACTAATTAATTAATATTTCGATTTTAATCAATGTCAATAAATAAATATATGACAACCATTCACGTTACTTGGCATTTTTTTTCTAATGTTGAAACAACACCATTTCTTATTCATATAAATATTATTAAAAGTTTCAAAAGAAAGAAAATTCATCAGTAAGAACTGAAACATTGATTGTTATTATAATTATATTATATAAATTATTTTTGTAGATACAATAATAAGTAACAAATATTTCCCATAATAATAATTATTATCAAAAGTTTGTGACACAAAGCGTTTGAGTAATTAGCCTTACTTTTCTTGATTTATCTGCTTTAGAACTATTCATTTTTAATTAAAATAAAATAATAGTTATTTTCTTTCAAGCCACTACCATTTGCGACGTTGTTTTACATTATTAAAAATACTCACAATATTTTAATACGACACTGAATGAAAATTTTCCAACCAGTATATAAATATAATCAAATTAATAGAATTTACACCTATCACGGATTGTGACCTTTGCTAACAAAAAATTACGACATGTACAATAACAATAAACATAATCAGTTTGGTCCTTTACGTTTTTATTACTGTATTGAGGAAATAAACATATTATATTTATTGATAAACTGTCATATAAACCAATACTGATAACTGTGTCCATAATATTTATGACGCAAAAAAAAAAAAAACTAACTTGCCATTCCCCGCAGCTTTACTTGACTAAAATATATACGGTTATTAAGTTGGGACTATTTCTAAAATACAATTTAGCGATTTGTAAGCAACTATTATAAGATAGTCTTCTCCTTTCAACAAGTTTATCAATCATATTTTTATTAGAATACATATGGCTTTTAATTTCTTTAATAGGCTGATATTAAGCTCAAATTCACTAGACGAAATAAAAAAGCAAAGGTAAACTATAAAATAAGAAAACATTTTTGAAAACGCAGAACCGAAGTAAAATCTAGATTCATCTTAAGAGGAAAAACAGATTATGTCTTTACTATTAAGCATTTTTGATACGTCTTTCCCGTCTATAATTTTTTTATTATGAATAATTTCAATGTATTGGGCGTTAAATATATGTATGTAGTAATATTAAATTTTTATATATGAAAAATATTTAGCAAAACTTGAAACATCAGAAAAAAAAACGAAATTACAACAAAAAACAATAACACATACACACACACAGTTAAAATATATGTTACGTTTTCAGTGAATTAAAAATAGCACATCCGATTAACATTGAGTATCTAAGTCGGTAAGGAAAAAAGGAAAAATAAAAAAAAAAACTATTAAATAATAAGCGACTTTTATAGTAATTTTATAGAAGTTATAAAAAATATATTTGCTGTGAAAGGAAATGGCGGTAATTAATTATCAATACTCTTATCATTCTCATATCACAGATGATACGAAATACAGTAGACGGTGAACTATAAATACCCTACTGAAAAAATGTAAAACCATTATTACAAGCTCTGCAACATTATAACCACAAGTGGGCAGTAACAATCGTGGTAACTAGAAGTAGATAATATTCTTGATATTATTTTTAACTTTATTTATTTTTGTCTAACCAATTAAATTTGATATTTCAGAAAAGCAACCATGAAGACTTTAGTCGCTCTAGTTGCTGTGCTGGCAGTGGTTGTCGCTCATCCATTGCCTTTAGTTCAAGTTATTGTGAACATCGATGCTAGTAGTGACCCTGGTGATAACAAACCAGTGCCCCCAGATGTAGACCCCGTACCTCCAGTTGACCCAGAAGAGCCTGAGGCAGATGGAAGTGAAGAAAACGAAGACATTGTGCCCGAAGAAAGCGAAGAATCTGCTTCCGAAGAAAGTGAAGAATCAGTTTCAGAGGAAAGCGAGGAATCTATTTCCGAGGAAAGTGAGGAATCTATTTCCGAGGAAAGTGAGGAATCTGTTTCCGAAGAAAGTGAAGAATCTGTTTCCGAGGAAAGCGAAGAATCTGTTTCCGAGGAAAGCGAGGAAGTAAAACCCGAGGAAGAGGAAGAAGTTAAACCCGAAGAAGAGGAAGAAGTAAAACCCGAAGAAGAGGAAGAAGTTAAACCCGAAGAAGAGGAAGAAGTAAAACCCGAAGAAGAGGAAGAAGTTAAACCCGAAGAAGAGGAAGAAGTTAAACCCGAAGAAGAGGAAGACGTAGTTCCTGAGGAAGACGAGGAGGAAGAGAGCGAGGAATCTCCTTCCGAGGAAAGCGAAGAATCTGTTTCCGAAGAAAGCGAGGAAGTAAAACCCGAAGAAGAGGAAGAAGTTAAACCCGAAGAAGAGGAAGAAGTAAAACCCGAAGAAGAGGAAGAAGTAAAACCCGAAGAAGAGGAAGAAGTTAAACCCGAAGAAGAGGAAGACGTAGTTCCTGAGGAAGAGGAGGAGGAAGAGAGCGAGGAATCTCCTTCCGAGGAAAGCGAAGAATCTGTTTCCGAAGAAAGCGAGGAAGTTAAACCCGAAGAAGAGGAAGACGTAGCTCCTGAAGAAGAAGAAGACGTAGCTCCTGAAGAAGAGGAGGAACAAGCTCCCGAAGAAGAGGAAGAACAAGCTCCTGAAGAAGAGGAAGAAGTAGCACCCGAAGAAGAGGAAGAAGTAAAACCCGAAGAAGAGGAAGAAGTTAAACCCGAAGAAGAGGAGGAACAAGCTCCCGAAGAAGAGGAAGAAGTAGCTCCCGAAGAAGAGGAGGAACAAGCTCCCGAAGAAGAGGAAGACGTAGCTCCTGAAGAAGAGGAAAATGACATCCCTGCTTACTAGAAACAGACGACATGAACGATAGATGAAAAAGGGACTAAGGCTTTGATTGAATGCAATAAAACTGTGTCTTAAAAACAGTCTTATTTCAATTATTCATTGTGACACAATTATTCGTAAAAATATATTCCCAATTTTTTAATTGAAGATACGAAACAATATAAATACAATCTAATAATTAATTTGATTAATGGTTCATAATTACCATATTAATAATTGCCGAAATCCAAGTAACTATTAATTTAATAGAAATTGTAATAATTCCTAGATTATATTACGACACAATATAATAATTGAAACATAAAATACGCTGTACCTGCAATAGATAAATGAAATACATATATAAATAATAAATAGACCTGTCTATAAAATTGTAAAAACAATCATATTTTTATATATTTTTGGAAGAATTATTAATAATTTTCTTTATAAAAAAAGAAAGACAAAAGATTAACTTAACTTATTAATGCAATTTTATTAAATTTCGACAGGACAAATTATTATTATCTATTCTAAAAACCTTTCAGCACTCTCAAGTAGAGAGTTATTTTAGGAAACTCTCAAAAGACGACGAATTAGGACCAGACAACAAATAATTTAAGAAGATATCATTACAGATTCAGTTTTTATTTCTTGCCATTTACTGACAACCTAAACAAGAATGAGTTTAACATATCAGTACATTTTAATGAGTATTCCCGTATAAAAAAACAGCATAAACAAGATTATACATGTATGTATATAAATAAATTTCAAATCTCCAACTCGTCACAGTTTAATTATGATATTTTTTTATATTATAAATTAAGATTTAACTAAGAGACGAAACCTCTTAGTACACAATTTAATCACCGTATTGGTGTCGGGTCCATCGTTGTAGTGAGAGGAGCTTCAACAGTGACTGGGACTTGATACCTAGGTGTAGGTTTAAGGGACCCCTATCTAATGCACGTTAAACTCTCACATCCACCGTACAAGCTACCCTCTCTACAGGACTAAATCTGATAATAGTATAAAAAAAGTATGAAATTTACCTTACATACACCGTCATATAATGTAAGGGTATCCAATAGTGATAAAGTAAATAACTGTTTAAGTTACAAGTTTTGAAATAAAGTACCATAATTCGCTTGAACTATTTAAACAATGGGTAAATATAAACTTATTCTGCCGTTTAAATACTATATATAATATTCATACGTAATAAAAGCAATGTAGTTTAAATAAAAAAATTACATGATTTACATAAGTTAACTTATGTACGCGGAAAGAAAAATATTAATAATAATAATATTAAAGATTTATTTATTCCATGCATATTAATCCCTACTAATCCCTACTAATATTATAAATGCGAAAGTAACTCTGTCTGTCTGTCTGTCTGTCTGTCTGTCTGTCTGTCTGCTACGCTTTCACGCCTAAACCACTGAACTGATTTTAATGAAATTCGGTACAGAGATAGAGTTGACCTTGAGAAAGAACATAGGATAGTTTTTATCCCAGACTTTTGAAAGGTTCTCTTGGAAACGCGATATAACCGAACTCCACGCGGCGAAGCTGCGGGCGGAAAGCTAGTAAACTATAATAATTATTATAACATTCGATTGTAATTTAATACCCTAATTAGATTTGTTTACATTATAATTACTTTATTTTTTTATTTAATAATCATCTGATTTTCATAAATTGATAAGATAATTAGTAATTTATTTTATCCCTACTAATATTATAAATGCGAAAGTAACTCTGTCTGTCTGTCTGTCTGTCTGTCTGTCTGTCTGTCTGCTACGCTTTCACGCCTAAACCACTGAACTGATTTTAATGAAATTCGGTACAGAGATAGAGTTGACCTTGAGAAAGAACATAGAATAGTTTTTATCCCAGACTTTTGAAAGGTTCTCTTGGAAACGCGATATAACCGAACTCCACGCGGCGAAGCTGCGGGCGGAAAGCTAGTAAACTATAATAATTATTATAACATTCGATTGTAATTTAATACCCTAATTAGATTTGTTTACATTATAATTACTTTATTTTTTTATTTAATAATCATCTGATTTTCATAAATTGATAAGATAATTAGTAATTTATTTTATATTTAATCAATAATTAATTAATGCATGGACCCCGTTCGGGTAAAAGCCTCCCCCAAGGACGAGATGTTTTGCGAGTTGGTAATTTTTTTTCTTTAGATTTGCGTTACGATTAGCTACTGGTAATATTTTTCTTCCTTGGGGAAGAATTACCAAAAAAAATTACCAACTCGCAACCTCTACTAGAGGAAATTGAAAAATTTTTGTAAAGATTGACGAAAGAAAAATTTATTTCATTGTTTAGAACAATACTTGAAATTTATACGAATTATAATCTTAAAACTTTACGACCATTATTAATAAAGGGAATATCTTCAAAATTTTCTTTCAGTTGGAGTTAAGTTCCATTTAGTGAAATATTGATTAATTAATAACTCTAATCAGTTTCGCTTATCATAGTGTTAATTTGTTAATTAATAAAACATAAAATCAATTAAAAATTTACATATCGCATTCAAGTTCAATTTATTTCTTTGTATATAAGCTTACGGTCCAAGATACTGAAATTTACAGTGTAATCACAAGACGTGCAGGGGCTTACAATATGTTAATATAATAATTATATTTCCAGCTGATCGTCAATATGTCCTGCATCAGAATATTACCAGGTCAGTAGATATAATATTGGTTTGTGAACAGTTTCATATAACCGTATATTAATACAATAATTTCCTTACAGTTATAGCACTCTTTTTGATTCAATACACGACTCAGTCGGAGTTGGATCGTGATGATGATGTGTCAATGATAGTGGTGAAGCCACCAGCATTACGAACCAATGATTATGTTACAGTTGAAGAAATCTATCCTACTAAAGAGGCACTACGGAGACCTAGATTTAAATCAAGAAACAGAAATAAATCTAGGAATAAAAAGGGTGGTCGTCCATCAAAACCATCTAAACCAACACGACCACCCCCAAATACCGATTCGTTCATCCCTCCAATAGAACAGTTCCAAGACATGGTAGATTCTATCAACAAATCTGACGAAGAGGAGCCGGTGGTTGTTCTCCTATTCTCCAACAGCGTCTTCGATCACATCTCTGGTGGTAATATAAATTTTGATGGCACCACCGATATTAAGGTCGACCAAAAAGATCAAACGTCGAAAAAGCTGAAATACGTTTCAGGTCAGCAATCACAAAGACCTATATCATTAGTGATGAAGCTAATAAACAAATTTTTTGGTTATTTTGTGTTATTAATTCAACTTGTCCGGAAACCTCGTCATAAATATTTCCTATTAGTAAATACAATATTAAATCTTAGTTTTACATATTTTTGAAGTATATTACAACATTTTTAATATATTACTATTCAACAGCTTTCCAGCAAGCATAAAAATATTGAAGATATAAAATATTTAATTATACTACAATTTTATTATCACTTATGAACTCCAATAGCGTAATACTTTTTTTAATTTTATTTATTTTTTGTATATTACAACCAATCAATTGAAATAATTCATACAAAAAAAATAAACCAATTAAGTTTTTACCGATTATAAGTTCATTTGGAGCAAAGAAGAATAAAACGTCTAAACACACGTTGGCAAAAAAAAAAAAAAATATGACATTAAAATTTAAATACAAAAATTGATGACATTGAGCAAAATAATATTAATAGAATAATTTTTTTTATAAGTTATTTTCTCTAAAATTTCTCTATTATTAAATTTTGGATCGTTATCAATTTACTTTGAACCGTATTTAAAAATATAATTATAATTCAAACACTATTTTAACTTGATATTTCTGATAGGATAATTCTATATATTGAGATGGAAATAGAATATTCTGTTCGATCAAAAAACAAAATAATCTATATATATAAAAATGAATTGCTGTTAAGGAACAGAACCTTAGTCTCACTAAAACTCGAGTACGGCTGAACGGATTTACCTTATCTTAGTCTTGAAATGTTCGTGGAGGTTCAGGGAAGGTTTGAAAGTTGAAAAAAATTTATTCATTTCCGGGAAATCCTAAAAACAGCCCTTTTCTATTTCCCGTACAAACCTTAACTAATATGTCAATCATTCTGTTCGATTGAAACAGGAGAAACCTGATTATTAATGGCCTCTAAAATGGAATAGACTTGGCCCGGTCAGCTATACATATATTACTAATGACGAAACTAACGCGGACGAAGTCGCGGGCAAAAACTAGTACTTTATAAATTCCAATATGCCAGTTCGACGCGGACGACGTTGCGGTCAAAAGCTAGTATGTAATACAAGCAAACTTTCATTGTAATTTAAACAACATTTTGTGACTTGAAAGTGTTAAAAATTTACTTCTGCGCTTTTTAACTATATTTATTTGTTTATCGAAGAAATACATAAAAAAGAACATCTGAGGCTTATTCTTTTTTTTAAATAAAGTTCTTGTTTGAGTAATAAATAGTCCATCGCTACTGGAATAAAAAATCTATAGAAAATAAATCATAATCAGCCTATCAGAGCCCACTGCTGAGAGAGTAAAGGCTTTTCTTCTCTCACATGGAGAAGATTAGAGCATTAGTCACCAAGTTTACTCAAGGCGGATTGACGATTTCAAATTTGAAATTATAAGTCCAGGTTTCCTCACGATGTTTTCTTTCACCGTCTAGTCTGTCAGTGATGTCTAAATACTCTTAGAAAGTATATATGAATCGGAAAAATTACATTGGTAATTGCCAGGTTTAGAACCCGCGCCCTCATGCATGATAGGCGTTCTTTTAACCTCTAGGCCACCACGACGAATATAAATACAAGACTATAAATCACGCATGTATAAAAAAAAAGAGGTTCCGAAAGAAATCTGATGAAATTATTAATTATTCTAGTCGTTCGTAATAGCAGCTGTCAGTCCTTGGAGAAGCCCTTATGAATAAAATTCTGCCACACGGTCATGTAATGTAAAAGGGAGCGACGAATAACCTCTTATTAGGTAAATGTTCACAACTCTTCATACTTAATCAAAGGCAAATGTATATGAACACAGCTGTCTAGTTATTTTTTCTTTAATTATAACGAAACACAATTTTTTTAATCTATCGTGCACAAGTATCCAAATACTTGTTTACAAAAGACGAAACCTTACTTTGACAAGTAATAATTAATTACTCTCAACGAATCAAACGCTATTAATACAAAGAACAATATAATTTTTTTTATTTAATAGAACCCTATTAACATATAAATCAAGTTTAGCATTCGATCTTATATAAATACTTTTGATTCCAAATATTTAATTTAACAAGACGAGTAACAACTTTACTTTGTAAGTCGATATAAAAATATATTATTTATTAATGAACAAGCTGACCCGTCGAACTTTGAACCGCCCGACAGACAATTTTCTGTCTTCTTAACTATGATTATTGAATTCTAATTGGTATATCAACAAATCAAAATTATTCTAAAAACAAAGTTTTTATTATTCTAATGCTTTATTCTAACTACGTGAATGTTACTGCGAGTAACACGTTAATGTAATAAAAAAGTGAAATATTTTAATTATTATTTTTTTTTTCTAGTAATTTCGTATTTTTTTCTTATATAAGAACTTTTTCCTATTAATAACAAATACAACAAAAAAATAATTAGTGAAATCGTTTTAGCCATTCACACGTGATATCGTGACCAAGGGAAAAAGGCATTCATTTTTATATACATACTAGCTGACCCGGCGAACTTCGTATCGCCCTATAATCAAGAAATATCTATTACTTTTTTTTTATTCCGTTTTTTGAAATGCGACAGAATGATTGACATATTAGTTAGTTGTCAAATCTAATGTCAAAAAAAACGTTTGTATGAGAAATAGAAAAAACGCCACTAATTAAAGAAGAAGAAGAAGAAGAGAAATAGAAAACACCTTTTTCATGATTCTTAAGTAATTAACTGTTGAAATATTGTAGTATACGTCATATAATTCTTCGTCATTCTTAGTAATTAATAAAACAGAAAATTAATCAAAGGCAACAATTCGTATTACATTACCATTTGTTCACTGTAAGTCATAAGGTGATGCGGAGTTATGGTCGACTATTATTAATTAAAGCCGTAAACATTATATAGTTGTCAGATATTTTTATAGCAACTGAACAATGATCATTAATATTAAATTATTAACAGGTAAGACAGAACAAGCCTTATATTATATTGGTAACATTCTTGACACTTATATAACATGAAAATTTCCAGTGATTACGGCCTTGTTCATAAAATGTGCGGAGCAAAATAGATATTACGACTATTTATGTAGAAATGGGAATTGTAATATTCAGGTTGTGAATGAATTCAATCCGATTACAGACGAACAAATTATAATAAATGATGAAAAAAATACACTAAGAAAGAGAAAAAAAGACCCGTTAGTTCCTATACTAATATTTTCAAACAAATTCTTTAATGACATCAACGGTGGAAATATTATATTCGATGGTAAAACTGACATCAAAATCACAAATAACGCAGAAAAAAACGGCAAGGGGATAAGCACGAGTGGAAAATACACTATAGAAGCTGCGAACATCAGATATAAAACTGCCAACGGAAAATTGCTTCCCACCAAAATTTCTGTAGTCATACCAGATATAGTAAATAAAAAAATTAAAGGAGGCACTATATACATCAACATGTTGAAGGATAAAAGACTTGTACATGACACGTCAGATGAAGAAGACTGGTAAATTATTTTATTCTCGTGCATATACATATACACGTAATTTATATTCGTCAAAAAAAAAGATTGACGCATTCAGAAAACAATATAGACATAAAACTGTATGGTCCTATTATACAATGTTACATACCATGTAGGAATATACAAAATAATTCCTAGAAATATTTGTTGTCTTTATTTTAACCCGACAGTTTAGGTTGCAATACTTAATTAACTTAAATGCCAGTTTTATTTGAAGAGAATAATTGTAGAGAAAACAATATTAGTTCAGCTTAACAAATTGCTTGCCCAATTTACTAAAATACAAGTTAGAATTTAAAATATAGGTTCCTTCAAATTTGAAAAACGGAATATGTTATAAAAATATATATAATAGAAATGACAAGTATTTTTAAAAGTAAGATTAGACGATTATCTATATATATAAAAGAAAGTCGTGTTAGTGACTCCACCTATAACTCAAGAACGGCTGAACCGATTTAGCTGAAAATTGGCAGGGAGGTATTTTAGAACCAGGAAATCGCAATAATTTTTATCCCGTTCAACAGCATTCCCGTGGGACTTGACATGAAACGTCAGTCACTATAAAACGTGGAATAACGAAACACAATTGACAGCTATGCAATTGACGTATAATGACAGATATGTAATTTAGTATTTGCGGGATAAATTTAGAAAATCATTGTTTTTCACATGGGCAGTTATAGTTTGTGTGTTCACGAGTTAGGAAACCATCCGCTTTATTTGTGTTAACGTTAGAACAAAAAACAAAAAATGTGGTTTACAAAGGACCACTTCAATGAAACGGATATTTTGCGGACACGTTTAACGCTTCGATTCGGTATCTACTTTGGATTCACTTTCATTTACTTAGAGAAGTTCAATTAAATAACACTTTATTTTTGTAATCGAAATGAATTCATTACTGTTGTGAAATGAAATAAAAATTTTCCTTTTCAAATATAAAACAAAAAAAAAAATCTTCATCTTTTAATCATCAAACGAAATGTTACATAAAACAAAGCCTTCTGGAGGCGAAACGGAGTTCGCCAGGTTTACTAGTATATAATAAAAATACTACATATACTTTTGGATTTTTGAGATGAAAAATATGCAAGCAAATTTTTTTCCTCAATTAAAAAATAATGTATTGAATCTGGAATTTTTTTTATTTTTAGTGACTATACATTTAGATTTAAACCTTTCTTTCTAGTAATCAGGTGTTCAATGATAAAATGAATATGTTGACGTTAAATAAGATCTTGTGACTCATTTCATTAAGCAGGTGGTAAAACCGACACAAAACAATACCTGTCCTTTAAAGCCAAGGTACAAGTTGTCATGTAAGAACAGGATTATTGTTTTCACGCCTCCTTTTGAATGGAAACCGAGTTCTAGCTTGAAAACAGCTTAAAGTTTAAAGCTCATTAATGTAAGTTATGCTCTATATGAGGTCAGAAATACGCTTCATAAAGAAGCAATCTTTGCCTTCGAGTGAACTGTCTCCGCTTAGCTCTATCCATCTAGTCAATTCCTTGGCACAAGCCCTTTCAGCAAAATGACGCCTCAATTCAAAGTCATTGTAGTATTTAGCACAATAGGTCCAATACTCTAAGACTTAGTTAATGTAGCCTTTGCAAATATGAAACCACAATGAATGAAATTTACTGAGCGACTTAACTTGTTCTAGCTTATGTTAAATTGGAAAACTATTCTTTATAACACAAACGACGACCCTGATTATATTTTACTATATGGGAGATATCTCCATTGTTAAATTAATTGAAAAATTCGATCTAACTGAACAAATAAATCATCATTTTCTTGAGTAGCAGTCTTTTGGTCGACAATACCCTCGAAAAGTACTTAGTACATACAAGAGTATTTCTGACAAATGTAACATCCATCATTGAGTTTTCCTTATATAATAAATGAAATAAAAGTAATAAACAAAAAAAAACTTTTCTTATAATTATAAATTCCTCTAGATATGTCCTTTCAATTAATAACCTCAAGTATTTCCGAGTTAAACGCATTATTCTAAGTTAATTTGTAATTAATAAAACATAAAATCAATTAAAATTAACAAATCGTATTCAAATTCAATTTATTTCATCGTATATAAGCTTGCGGTCCAAAATACAAGAATGGATTGTATATCACAGAACGTGTTGGTACTGACAATATGTTAAGATAATAATAATATTTCCAGCTTATCGTCAATATGTCCTGCATCAGAATATTACCAGGTCAGTAGATATAATATTGGTTTATAAATAGTTTCATATAACCGTATATTAATACAATAATCTAATTACAGTTATAGCACTCTTTTTGATTCAATACACGACTCAGTCGGAGTTGGATCTTGATGATGATGTGGCAATGATCGTAATGAAGCCACTAGCATTACGAACCAATGATTTTATTAATACAGATGAAGTCCCTATAATTGAGGGGCGTCGGAGAAACAAAAAATCAAATAATAAAGAAAGGAAAAAACCTTCATCTAAGAATTCGAGGCGTCCCAAGAAGCGTAATTCCTCACCTAAAAAAAATAACATCCCAGACGATACAGTCGTTGTAGTTTTATTCTCTAATCACATTGTAGACAATATGTCCGGTGGCAATATTAACTTTGCCGGTAATACAAACATCGACGTGAAACAAACGGACCAAACTCAAAGACTAAGCCACGGTATTGATGAAAAGGCTTTGAGCATAGGAAATATAATCGGATTGGTTCAGAGACTTTTTTCTCAATAAAGAATTGTTTTTTTATTATTCTTTTTTTTAATTTCAAATGTTAATACTTATTTTAAAGAGACTAAACGTTATTGCTAAGTTTAAGTCGATGGATATATGTATAAGGCATTTGTTTTAAATTGCAAATAGAAAGATTGACGTAGTCGACATACATATATAAAAATATCACAAAGTTACGACAAAACCAAAAGAATTGTTAAGATTAATTTGAAGTTACATTGTTAGAACAGAGGATAATATTCATTCAGAGCTACTTACACGTACTTAAAGTAACCTATAAATATTGCATATTTACAGTTAAGAAAAAATTATTATCTATACTAATATTATAAAACTGAAGAGTTTGTTTGTTTGTTTGAAAGCGCTAATCTCCGAAACTACTGGTTCGAATTCAATAATTCTTTTTGTGTTGGATAGTCCAGTTATCGAAGAAGGCTGTGGGCTATATAACATCACGCTACGACCAATAGGAGCAAAGATATAGTGGTAAATGTGTAAAAAACGGGAGAAATTATTTCATCTTCGAAGCCTTCCGTTGCGTGCGCCGTGAAAACGGTTCAAGATACACAAAAAATATGTATTAAAGAATAATAGCTCTTTTAATGATCTAAAAAACAGTCGCGACAGTATCTGTCTATCTTTTAAGATTAACTCACAAAAACCGTTTTTATGGTACCTAACTTGGTCGAAATAATTTGTTTAAGTTGTATCAACATAATAATATTAATCTTTATTCAAATAAACAAATAAATATGTTGTTGGTTAAGAGTACTTCATTGTGAATTTAAAAAAAACATAGGTTTTATCCTGAAAATTCTACGGGAACTCGAACATTCCGAAAACCCCCCAAGAACGGGAACTATGTGGGAAGAACCAAAAATCTGCCGGAAGTCACTATTCCACGCGGACGAAGTCGCGGCAAAAGCTAGTATATAAATATGCACTAGGCAGCTTCTAAAATAATTCTGCAAAATAAGCTGTTAATACCAATAAAATATCAGTTGGTAAATATACAACCCCATTCTCGTTCTTTGTCGGTTTTAAACAATGTGTTTTAATATTACGCGACTTTTATTTTTGACTCTAAACTCCCGACTTGAATGTCAGACACTCACATCTCCTCTGCCCGTGATCACGATTGCTGTATAGTAACTGAAACTTCGGGAGTATATAGTTTATAATGAAAAATAAAAATCGCATAGTAAATTCGAAAATATTAGTTTCATTTAAATGAATACTCGCGAAAATCTTAAATCTCATTAGGCTAACAGAATCGTCAGAGAAACAACAAGAAAAAACAGTGAAGAACAACAGTTTCTCAAATTATTGAAAACTATAGAAATACTATATATTTATTTACATTCAGAATGTAGACATGTTGGTTTTTATAAAGCTTAATAAAAATTAACTTTTTATAGGGAGGGAGACTCCTAAAACCTTTTTGGTCAAGAATTATTTAATATTTATGACCTCGATTGTACGGTGCTGATGCATATGTTTTGATATGGTTACAACTTTTTATCATTAGCTTACATAAAGAACGATTCCAGTTTCAGTCATAAATCATTATTATACATATGTATATTTAACGCAGGTTGTTGACTGAAAAATTGAAAATGACATTAATAGTTTCAAATATTTATTATTTAATGAAAGAGAATTTTCTTTAATAATAATATATGCCGATTATTTAAATCGTTTTAGATAAGAGAAAAAAAATAGGATGAGAAAAGTTAAGCCATTGAGTCAAAAACTACATTATAACTACTATATTTCTTTTTATAATTGCATTACTTCCAAACTATCATTAAACAAAAAAAAAATCAATTCTATTCTAATTTATTCTCATAATCATTAATTATTCATTTTAACGAAATACTACATCATCTTATTTTTAGTCTTCATAATAAATTAAATTGGTTTATATATTAATTGATATTCAACACTCTTTTTTTTTCAATATTTCCAGAGTTAATGCCTAAGTAATTAACCCTTAAAATACTGACGTGATAACAATTCTTCGTCATTCTTAGTAATTAATAAAACAGAAAATTAATCAAAGGTAAAATTAATCAAATTCGTATTACATAGCCATTTGTTCACTGTAAGTCATAAGGTGATGCGGAGTTATGGTCGACTATTATTAAGAAAAGCCGTAAACATTATATAGTTGTCAGATATTTTTATAGAAACTGAACAATGTTCTTTAATATTAAATTATTAGCAGGTAAGACAGAACAAGCGTTATATTATATTGGTATCATTCTTGACACTTATATCATGAAAATTTCCAGTGATTACAGCCTTGTTCATAAAATGTGCGGAGCAAAATAGATATTACGATTATACATGCAGAAGTGGATATTGTAATGTGCAGGTTATTAACGAATTGAATCAAGTGATAGACGAACAAATTATAACAAATGGTAACAAGAATACACTACGAAAAAAACAAGACAAATCAACAGAAAATTTTTACGAATCCCTAGTACCAGTACTATTGTTTTCGAATTCAATCTTCAGTCACATAAACGGCGGTAACATAACATTCAGTGGTAACACTAAGATACAAATTAAAATTAAAAATAAAAAACGTGGCAAGAAGACGAGTACGAATGGTAGATACACTATGGTACCAGCAAGAATTAAATATAAACATGCCTATGGGCACTCACGTCCCTCAAAAATATCGATAGTTATACCTAATGTAAAGAAAATTAAAACTCATGAAAGAAAACCAGTAACAACCACAGTGAAGAGTATAGATAGTGACTCGGATTCAAGAGAGATAGATGATGGATATATCCTTTGATGCCGATGAAAAATGTCTCATAGATTTATTTTGTGACACAATACATTCCTGTGGTTTTGTCATTCTAATCTTAACTTTAAATTCAAAACAAAACATGTACATATAAATCAATAAATTTAGTTAACCGGGATATGTTAACGTTTTAATTAAACAAATTAAAACTATTTTAGAGAATTATTTTTTATTTTAATCCTATGGTAAAACGTAAATTACAGCAACGTTAAGACCAAAACCAAGTTCTTTACAAGACAATCCGTTTAATTTTCTATTGTTTTTGTCTCATATAACTTGTGATTAGAGTAATATCTCTTTGCCGAAAATAAATCTCTGTCACTCATAATTTTATCACTCATACATCTTCCTCTCAAATCCTCTCTAACACTCACATGCTTCCTTGGTCTTTTAGAGAATAAAAGGTAGGCCTTTCCATCAATACTCATAACTTTATTACATACATTGGTACTTTCTTTTCCCATATAATGACCGTACTAGAATCGATCCCTCTCTTTCCATTTTTGTATTCACTGCCCCCCCTTTAGCCTGCTTCTAATTAAACCAATCTTAATCTTTTAAACAATTCTTTTCAGTCCACAAATTCATCCCTACATCTTCATTACTCTTTATTTTAGATTCATCCCAGAACCACAGACACTGCAGGAGATCAGACAATATTTCATCCACATAACTTAATTATTCAGCGCTCCTTCGAAGATAATTATTGCATAGTAATCCAAATCTCACTTCAACTTACATTGAAAACTTCTCCAATATAAATTAAAACTGTATATATATATTTTTTTCCGTAAAAAATATAATGAATAAAACAAATATAAGTTTGTTTTGAAAATAATAAATATCTGATTGAATACTATTTAAATATAATTAGCTTTTAAAATAGCAATTTTAATTTTAGTTACGTTTTTGACGAATAAAATAAAAATGTGGATCTAATTTATAAACACAATTGATATATGTACATATATATTTGAGAATATTATTAAATATACTGTATGTATGTAGCAGTACTTCTGACGTTTCGTATTTTTGTAAGAAAGGATAAGCAAATATCTGGCATTTATAAAGACCATCAGCTTAATTTGCAAGGATTAGATTACATACTCGTATAGGCAATCAGGGAACTCGATGGTTTAGCCATTAAGTGCCATTCCTGTTTTTTATATATTATAATCAGCTCTCAGTGATACTGTCAAAGCCACAAGTCGGAACAAAAAAGGACATATTCGATTTTTTATTCTTGCAACCCAACACACTTCTATGACGCTCGATATTATTTCATAAAGCATCGTGATATATGTAGATAACAATATGAGGTCAAAACTAGATACACACTATTTTGAAATGTATGAATAGTTTTCCTTTTTACACAATAAAACTCAATTGAACTCTACTTGGACTTTATTATTTTTTAAGTATTTTATAAATAAATAATTTAAAGCAGAATTATATCAATTCTTTTTATACAAAAAACCTTACTTAACAACTGTTTTTACAGTTAAAAGAATTTTAAAGATCCTAATAAAACATCCCTTCTCCAGCACAATAGAATATAATATTTTTTTTATTTTGTTCCCATATAAGTGTAACTGATAATTGAATTGAGCTATATCTGAAGTAGCACTTCATTTTATGAAGTTCATTTCTTTTTTTTTTAATATATGGGTATTTAAATAAAATTACATTTGAAGTTCTCTATTAAAAATACATCGACAATAACTCGGGGTAATCATTTTATATCTAACTGATATATAATTAGTTTTTCTAAAGATTTCCATTAATATATTTGTTCCTATACAAACATACATATTCCTATAGAAAATACAACAAAATCGAAATTCATTATTTCACACGAGGATTTAGAAATGAATCCAATAAAGCACTCACACAATCAATTAAAATTAACAAATTGATTTCTATTTCATTATTACGCTGAAACTATAAATTATGGTACAGAGTCAAACTAAAAGACTATGGTCAAACGAAATTACAGGACTGCTGTTCAACAAGCACGATGTATTACAACTTATTACTGAGTGAGTTAATAACGAATATGATTTTTCTATAATGATATCTATAGTTATTTAAACGAAAAAATTCAATTGTTTATATTACAGTCATCGGATTTTTCATACAAATAATAAACATAACGGAAGCAAAATATCGCGATTGTAATCATGATAACTGCGATGATACAGTACGTGTTTACCTAAATGGGGAGGCTCGCGACGTTAAAATTCCACCAGATGTAGTCTACAATGGAATTCCCATTAAAGTTGCTAGACAGAGGAAGCGTAGCAATCGAAAAGTACGTCGAGATGAGGAACTGACTTTCATACCTGTTTTATTATTCTCAAACCACGTCATTGATCACATGACAGGCGGCAACATAAACTTCCAAGGAAAAACCGACATCAAAATAGATCAGAAAGATCAATCTGCTAAGAAACTACGATATGTAAAAAAACAGGATCCTCTTGGGAGACTTTTGAAATTACTCCTTTTAATGTAATATTAAAATCATTTCATTAATACATTTCTAGAAGAAACGAATTTAAATATATGTAAATGATATCGTAATTTTTTTATTACATAATATATAATAAAGAACCTTATATAAAACCGTTCATCCGACCGTTAAACATATATAACATCATCATATTGGAACCTTACATATATATTAATTTTGAATCAGTGACATTTTTTATCACTATATTATAATTTTTATCACAAAAAAATATTTATTATTTTTAATAATCAAATAAAAATATTTAATGAAAAGCGTTTTTTTTTTCATAATGCCTCTTGTTTATTATAATAATTAAATAATAAGTAATGTAACGAAAACGACGCAACATTTCTGAGTGAAGCTTATTTCTTAGGTTAAAAAAAATATCGCTTTTATAGCCAGAGAACAAGAGAAGTATATATATTATATACTAGCTGACCCGGCAAACGTTTTTTTGCCATATAAAATAATAGGGGTTGGTGATAAGAAAGTAATAATTTTGGGTTGAATGTATTTTTTATGCTAGGTACATTATAAGAAAATAAAAACAAGAAATTCCGTCCCAAAATTTAAAATAAAATTACGGGTGAACAACCCTTATGACTTAGGGGTATGATAACTAGATGTTGGCCTACTCTTAGACCTACACAATATACTCATAAAATATCACCAAAATCGGTCCAGCCGTTTTGGAGGAGTTCTCTGTCTTACACCGCGACACGAGAATTTTGTATATAAGATAAGATAATAATATAAGATAAGAAAACAGGAGTCAAAATGTTTAAAGGCTAATAAGCTTATTACCGATACTATTGCGAAGGGGGCCAGGGATACAAATGTTATAAAACGATATCAAGCTTTTGATATATCGTTTGATCTATTACTTATTTATAAAACAGAACATCTTTTACAACATTGTTTTAGGATATTATTACACACTTTATTTGTAAGACAGCCCTGGTAGGCTCGTTTGAACTTGGTTATTATAGTAAAGAGCGTGTACGGTGGAGGTGAGCGTTTAACGCGCGTTATATAGGGACCCTTTGAATCTACACCTGGGTCACAAGTCCTAGGCACTGCTGAAGCTCCTCTGACTACAACGATGGACCCGACGAGGTTTCGTTTAAGAACACGAATATTACATTTATGCTATATATACCACAAGGAGTAGGTATTTATATACAGACTTACATATGTGTATATCAATAGCAAATTTTCTTTAATAGTTACATTTACCTGAGTCCAATGTCACAATATGTCCTGAAGATAATGAATAATTAATTTAATTAAAATTTATGACTAACAACTATTGGTTAATAAAACAACAAAATATTTTCTATAAAGATTGGTAATATTTGAAAAGAATTTTTTATTGTTGAATTTCACTGGTGATTCGATATTAATTCCGACTTAAGCAAAATGTATATAAAACATGTATGTAAAAGTTTAATGAGTAAATAGTTATTTACTACTTTTAGATATTATAAAAAGCTTTCAAATCATATTAAATGTATGATGTTATTTGTAAATAAGACTGATTATCAAAAATAATTGATTATTCGTATCTAAAAAGAGGTTGTATTTTAAAAGGATTCTTAACTTTTTAGTTATAGCCGTATAAGTTTTTCGAGTTTTTACCAAACCCATTCATATTTTGAGAGGCATACTATAGAATTCTATTAAAAATAACTATTCTGCCATCTCGAGAATGTTACTAAGAACTATTAAATTCTTATAAATGAAGCCAAATAAAATTTCTATTATCATTTTCTAATACATATTCTAGTATAATACTTAAATAGAACTAATTTATCGTATTTAATACGCTTTTTTTATTTTTTTAGACTCCATACTCGCGACGTCACGGATAGACGAGATGAAAATGTCTGACACCGGGTGAATATGTTTAGTTTAAAGAAATAGAAAACACGTAGTAAGTTCGAACATATTTGTTTTTTTAACGTATTAGACGTATCACTATACAAAGACTATAAGTGTAATAGTATCTCTATGTTCTGATAAATAGGTTGAAGTAATTATTTTGGAATTACAACAATGGGAGCGGTTTCTGGATTTTTTTAGTAACATGAAAAGTTAATGCATATTGTTAAAAAATATATTTCTTAGGACTTTATTTTTGCAATAATAAGCTTTGAAAATTAAACATATTGAAGCAATTGACATTTTTTTCAGTCTCAAAACAAAATTTCATAGTTATTAATTTTCACCAAAAAACAATTTAACGAAGGTTAATTCCGCATGTTGTATTACGAATTGATTCGTTTACTTTCTAAGATTTAATGAAATTTCAAAATAGTTTCACACATAGAAAGTAAAATTAAATGTATCGTTCACACTTAAAACATACATACATCAGTAGAAATGAATATAATCCATTTATTTTCAAGTAAATAACCATTCATTATTATCACTATACATAGATATATACGTAACTATTTTTATTTGTTTATAATTTCAGTTACTACGCTAATTTTAATACAAGACACGGAACAAGCAGAATCTTATCATCGTGATTGTTTGACTGACAACTGCAAGGAATCTTCATACTTTATTCACGAACAAAGGATTCAACTACCAAAACCTCCGGGAACATATAAAGAATTACCCATAACAAATCGTCGTGGCGAACTAAATAATGTTGCTACGAGAAGCAAACAAACTACGTATATACCAGTTCTATTGCTCTCCAAATCATTATTAGATGGAGTCGAGAGTCGCAACAAGAAAAAAGAAGGTAAAAGCCTCAATATAGTGATTAACCAATCAGAACAATCATCACCAAACAAACTTAAACTACAATATACAATAAAAACAAATTACGAAAAAAAACATAAGAAAACAGAATCACATGGAAAAAGAGCTAAGAAGTTGAATTGCGAAATGTCATGTTTCTTGATATGTATATGTGTTAAATAAATACTACTAAAAAGATGTAATACACAGTAATATCGACTTTTGTTCTTTCAATAAAGAAATAAATTAATTACCATCTATACAGAAGATTATAACTATATAAATGAATCTTATGTATATGTTATGGCTAATATATCATTAAAATTCAAGATGTTTAGCAATTATTTAATATATTGATAAAACGAGCTATTCTCTATTTTAACACTTGACCAGTTTTGTAAAATAAAACCTATATTTTTCTTATTTATTTGTGTACCAAAAGATAAAATAGTTACATTAGTATAGTAAAGAAATATAATGCACAAAGAATAACTTATCATTTAAAAGAGATCTCTATCAGAATTCATTAAATTTAAGCACTGAATTAATGATTACAAAGGCGTTTTGCACGTATAATTTGCATTTCTTTCATATACTGTATGTGATTGTGATTTATCCGAGTCATATGTAATTTCTAAGAGTATTAAGACACCACTGACTGATGAAGGAAAACATCGTGAGGAAACCTGGACTTTTAATTTACCATTATAAGTTTGAAATCAGCAACCCCTCTTGAGCAAGCGTAGTGATTAATGCTCAAACCTTCTCCATGTGAGAAAGAGGCCTTTGCTCAGTAGTGGACTCTGATAGGCTGATGAGGATATGTATATGCCAAATAGATGAAGCACGAGTTAATATAACAAAAAGGATTTAAAATATTTGTTTTTTATTATATAAGCATGTTAATTGTTTTGTCGACAGTTTTGGTAACAAACCATTTTAAACTTCAAATGTGGTATAGAAAAAGCTTTTTATATTATAGTTAAATTATAGTGTCTATATACTTGTATAAATATAGTATATATCGGCGGTACCAGCTTTAATAACGGATGCGACATGAAAATAATTTAAGGATGTCATCAATTCTTATTAAAACTCATTAGTATTCATAATTATTGTTAAAAGTAAAACGAAATCAAATATTGTTTAAAAGTAGAATAGAACTAGGTTTAAATCTTGGTATAAACATGACGCCTGGAAGCACGACGGCAGACTTCAGAATTGAGAATTCAGAGTTCAGTGAGTATCATATGTACGTATCATTGAAGCATGTGATTATAAAGAACCTTCGATAAATACAGGAACATTAAGAATAATTGAAGTTTCATTTAAAATATCATGGAACGTTCTAGAATGTTTTTGGAAAAATAAGGTGATAACCATAGGTACAACAATATAAATTTGTTACAGTGAATTTGTGAACTATTACATACATTTGAGGTTAATTTGTTAAATGTTTATTAGTTTAGGTTTCAGATTTCAGATGTTTTTTGACTAATTTTTAAAAACACATGCATATTATGAAACAGCTTATTTTACAATTCCTATTTTGGCCTCCCTTTTTGTCAGCCACAATTTTTTTTTTCGGTAATTTCTTTTTGTTACGGGATTTCTTCTTTTTCGACTTCTTTATATGATTTTCATAACTTTCATTACTATCATCGTCCGCAAAGTCATCGTCCAAGTAATCAGGTATTATGTACACTGAGACTTTATTCTTATTACTCAGTTTATGTCTTTTCCGTAGTTCGTCTCTAATGAAGAAGTCATTTATATGATCAGACGACCTCTCGTCGGATTCCTGAATAAAGTCGACATATATCGGTTTGTAGGATTCCTCAATGGAATGCTCTCCATAGTAAAACTCGTGTTGTTGCGAATTTTGTATGAAAATCACTGTGATAACTGGAAATAGAATGTTATAATATGATACATATAAATAGTTTTATTTGTTATTATTGTTGCTATATAAAATAGGTCAAGTTCTCTTACCAATAAACAAATGTATGGGTATCATATTCGTTTAATCAGAACAAGATATTTTTTCCGTTTTTAATTTAACACTACGATTTTCCTATTTTATATTAACGTGAAAAAACATACTTGGATCATAATATTGTAAATTATTAACTGTGAATGTAAACGAATCAATTTGCAATACGATTTGTTAATTTCAATTAGTATACTATATTACTTAATTACTACAAAGTAATATGTATATATAAAACGAAATATGTACATTCGAAGTTATCTGTTCAAAAAGCTATACTATTTTAAATAAAATTATAACATTATGTTAATATCTTTTTAATCAAAGATTTCTGTCACTAAGTGACCTTCAATTATCTTCCAATATTCTGGAATATTGAAACCTATATATTTTTTTAATTATTTCCCAATATTTCTCGAGGATCGATTCATAATGCAACAATATTCATATACTATCCGGTTTAATATTTTATCTTATTTTTCTAAACCTTTACAACTCGATTTTATCAGCTTTGATCATCGTTAGACGAGCTGAAAATCCGGGTCTCTATAAAGTGACCAAAATAAAAGAATTTGTAAAATATAATAAAAATAATTGCGGAGTAAATCCGAAAACCATGGTTTAGTTTAGAAAAAATACTCTACTTTCGACTAATAATAATAATTAAAACTAACCAAGCGAATTGATTAGTTCGCAATAACAGCTAAGAATTTACAATATTATGATCCAAGTATGTTTTTTCACGTTAATATAAAATAGGAAAATCGTAGTGTTAAATTGAAAACTGAGAAAATACCTCGTTCTGGCTAAACGAACATGATGGCAATACATTTGTTTATTGGTAGGAGAACTTGAGTTATTTTATAGAGCAACATTAATAACAAATAAAACTATTTATATGTGTAGTATAATCATATTCTATTTCCAGTTATTACCGTGATTTTCATAGAAAAGACGCAACAACACGAGTTTTACTACGGAGAACATTCCATTGAGGAATCCTACAAACCGATATATGTCGACTTTATTCAGGAATCCGACGAGAGGTCGTCTGATCATATAAATGACGTCTCTATTAGAGATGATCTACGGAGGAGAAATAAGCTGAGTGATAAGAATAAGAAGAAAATTCCGGTATACATAATACCTCAATTCTCAATAGATTACATAATGAATGAAGACGTTAATGAAAATGATATAAAGAAATCGAAAAAACAGAAATCGTCGAAAAAACTCTCAAAACCTGAGAAAAACAGAAAGCTCAAAAGTGATTGCAAAGTATCCTGTTTCTTAGTATGTTTTTGCTTTTAAGAAATTATGAAACAAAAAATTATGAAACAAAAAAATAATAACAATTTAAAAAAAAAATTCAAACGGATAAGATAGTTTCTAAGTCACTGTTATAAATTTATTATATTGTACTTATTGATTATCAAGTTTTATTTCACAAACATTAATGAAAATCGTCAGGAATATCTTATTTGATTTCGCATTATTAAAATAAATTTGCTATCAAATATTTCGTTAGAAATACATATTATACATTTGATGTCAGTAAATTTTTTATCTTCACGTAAACTAAAAAAGCACGTAATGAATACATAAGTGATAGTTTCTTCATACATTCACTTATTTTTGAGTGAAAAAATAATACTGAGAAAATTCGTATATATTACATTTCTAGCATTATAAATCAGTATATGTGTGTTTCGCGTAAAATATATTATATTCCGAAAAAAAGATAACAAAATCTGTACTTTTTTCACAATCACATTCAATATTTTTCGTTTATTCTAAATATCTTTACATGTGTAGCTAAGCCATGTGAAGTTCAGTCAGAATATTTTGTTATTGCGTTTTTATACATTTCGACTCAAATGTTGGTAGATAGACATAAATCTTTAGATCATAGTAACAGCCTATTTACTCTCGCCTTAACACCAACCTTACAAATGAAAAGAGATATCATGCTGTTTTCTTATTTTATCCATTCTATATGAGACAATTTTTTCAACTTTAATGTTTTAATAACTTACTTTCGTTTGATATTTGTTATTTTATATCGAACTTTAGACAGGTTCATAACGATTTTTTATATTCACTACGATAAATAAAATTCGTAAGGACTGACGACAAAAAAATATTATATGTATTAATGTTATTTTTCATTACCATTTCAATCATACTTAAGTCACAGCGGAGTTAAATGAAATTGCGTCTGGGGTTTTATGCCTTGAAGTGTTTCAAACAAATATTATCGTCAAACAAAATCATCATTTTGAATTATGATATTTATATTTGGTAAGAATATTTTTTATTCATAAATGAATAAATTTTCTTATGAACGATTATAACGAGATAGAAAACGCTTGCAATAAACAGTGTTGGTAGCTACCTTTTTTTCCTTTACAATTATCATTTTATATATTGCCAATAGATTACTATCACGTATTATAATAATTTTTAGTCCGTCTGTTTATTCCGGCTTATCGTGGTAATTTCACTGGCAAACAGAGAATATCGTGAAGAGTAACTTAAGAGTATTTTTTACCTACTCAAAAACTCAAACAATTTTTATTACCCACTAGCTTTCCGCCCGCGGCTTCGTCTGCGTGGAGTTTGGTTATATCGCGTTTCCAAGAGAACCTTTTAAAATTCTGGGATAAAAACTATCCTATGTTCTTTCTCAAGGTCAACTTTATACCTGTACCAAATTTCATTAAAATCATTTTAATGGTCTAAGCGTAACAGACAGACAGAGTTACTATCGCATTTATAATATTAGTAGGAATTCCACTTTATGTTGTTACAATACCTACTCCTTAAATTATTTCCTAATTCCAAAATTATTTTTTTATCGAAAAAGCATAATCCTTTGGTAATCCACTTTTGATAAAGTCAGCTACCATTAAAAAGTCGTTTAGAAACTATGTAAGGATCATAACGCGTATCACAAAGTGTTCAATATACAGACAAAGCCACCCGCAACAACTAGTACAGAATAAAAGAAATATAATATAAAAATTTTACTATCTTTTATCGATAGTTTTAATTGTTTTACAGGCTGCGTCTTTCTGTTAGTCAATTTACCGACGCAGGGTTCCACGGATTTACTTGAATCATCTTGTTCTCAAGAACATTGCGCTAAGTACCAATCTAGTACAGAAGAATTGTACCCTGTAAAGTATGAAGAGGAAGATTATGCAATGCCACCATACCAAATTAGAAGCGTCATAAAGAAACATAATAAAGGTGTAAAAAAATTATATAAAAAAGATGTAGCACCAAAGAAGAAGCTTTTTATTCCAATAGGTGTTGCTCTAATCATAGGAGCATCAAATATTGTTACTGCTATTATACAAAAATCCTAAAACCATTCAAAATAAAAGAAAAAATCGTTTTAGAGAAAAATCGGAAGACAAAAAGAAATATTTACAAATGATATTTAATTCTTAGTAGATTTATAACTATTTCATTTAATAAAATCGATTATTGTTAAATAAACTGTCTGACTAACATTATTTCTATTTTTATTTGTTGTTCTATCAGTGGTATCTAAACACTCTTTGAAAGTACATATGACTCCGAAAAATCACGTTGGTACTTGCCACTTTTCGAACCTGCGCCCTCACGCATGAGCGGCGGACCTTTAACCTCTAGGCCACCACGACCAGCCGTATTTTACTTCTAAGAATTAAAAGTATTTTCGATTTACAATCTCATAATAAAATGCAAGGAGATTGAAAAATATATTTTTCATATTGGTTATTGAATATAACCAACTCATTAAATTATTAATTTTCAAGTGTTCGTCGATTACGTCCAATTATAAATTTAACGCCGACAAATGTATTCAGTTTAATCTAAGTTAAGTAAATCAATTAAAACTGAAGAGTTTGCTTGAACGGATTCAATCGCCAATAAAAGTTACACAGTAACTTAGTTTAGTTCCTATAAAGAAGTATTAACAAAAAATGTTTATAAAATTGCTGGTCTACGGTGAGTTTTTTTACATTGACTCTAGGAAAAAACTTAGTTTAAAACATTTTTGTTCATAAAATAGTTGATCAGTAGTAAATTTCAGTAATGTCGATTTTGGTGTCATCACTCCTCACAACACAAGACTTGGCTCCCTGGACAAAAGCATTACAAACAAAAGAACCAGGAAATTGGCCGCCACTTGTAATATTGTTATCAAATAATATATTCAACACTGGGGGAAGAAGTCAAAGGTCAAGGTCATATGTCACACATGATAATACAAATGAAAACAAGCGTAGGTTAAAAAAGAACAGAGGTCATCGGAATAAAGAAAAATTAAACAATGAACAAAATCCACCCGTTGAAATTGTGATAGAAGCTGGCAGAGCGAAAGATAGAAAGGCATTGGAAAAAATATTATTAGAATAATATATGAAACTATTGACTTTATTTATAAGGTTTTTTTATAATTTCCAATTTAATAAGCATTGAATATTATTAAATGTTAAGATAATAAATTTTATCATTTTAATGTATTCTTCTAAATTTTTTTGCTATTATCGTCTAAGAGGACCAATTTTTTTGGATTAACGCACCTGTTTTTTTGTTATATCACATGAATTTGATAATAATGGAAGGAACAAAATAATTCTGTAATATTGAAGGATAGATTTAGGAGCTCCGAGATTCTATTTGTCTTATCCTTAGGTTTTTTCATAAAGTGCGTCTCATTTTAAATATTTTTTGCGAGACCCCTATTGTTATTGGTGCTTACGCTTACGATTTAAACCATTTGTGTTGCTAAATCGACACTGGATCTCAAAATACAGACAAAGTGTTCATAGTCTTAGGTCTGAAACACTTTAACACCATATATGTGCGTAACGCAATATAATCAACCCAGTATTGTTTAATGTATGACAAATCTGATTGATTGGTCACTTAATTGATTTTAGTCTGTCTAATTAACTTCACATGTTTATAAACAATTATATTTTTCATAAATGTTGATTTGTTTGGGCGCTCTATTCAACACGGGTATGGTTCAATTGGAAGAAATAAAATGAACAACAAACTGATTATTCTAGGTGAGTATTCTTTTATGTGTAAAAAACTTAAACTCATCTGATAGAATAAATCTTCAGAAAAATGCAATAGGCACTTTACTGCCTTTTTGTTTTTTTCTTACCTCAATTTTTCTAGCTTTTCTTTTCAAATAAGAATATATAAAAATTAAGGGTAAAAAAAAGCACAGTTAGTCAAAGTGGAGAGGTGATTTTCGGATCTATGGAAAAACAAAATTCCTTAGCGATGATTTATCAATATACGATTTATAATAATAATTGTTACATATCTAAGTATAAAGGAGAATGCCTACTACAATTTTTTTTTCTACTCATTTAAATATTTTATATATTGATAGTAGTATGATAGTTACCTGTACAATTTATTTTGAACACTCAAACCAACAAGTTTTTTATTCACAGGTTGTGTGGTACTTTTGTTTCAACTTTCACTTCAAGCTGGACAGAAAAAATGTCGTGGCAAAAATTGCAAGAAACACGCACAGAATAATGATTATGAAGTAGACGACAAAAATAAAAAAAATAAAGATTATCATTTTAATAAAAAAGGAATCGTCCCAATATTTATGATATATCCAAGAGGCGGCTTAAAGGCGAAAGAAAATAAATTGTCACAGGGAAATAAAAAACTTTTTTTGGGGATGTTATTCGTGAGGAATATGATGCGAATAATAAAAATTGCAAACCGCGCGAAAAAAACTATAAAAAAATTTGATACTGATCAAGTGGAATCACTCCTTGAACTGTAGTTAATAACTAAACAAGGTGAAAGTCTAAGATAAATATATTTTTCGATATTATCTCATTTGGGAAAAATTTTGTTGTTAGATTTTGTATACTTTTTCTTTTTAAGGGAATATTTAGTTTTTCTCCTAAATTGTCCCATACACAGTGTAGTACTTAGCTTACCTAATATAAAGGCAAGCTTCCAATTTTAATAAAGTTTTTAGGCTCACAAAGAACTTGAAAGTTAATGTTATTTAGACTGCCCCTAACGTACTCATTTCTTATATTGACCATTCCTATCTTTAGTCATGTATCTGCATATTACAAGGATTGCTCCAATTCTCTAATCCATACAATTTAACAGCTTTGATAACTAACATATATGAGCCCCTTTTGATTGAAGCGGCTTTCTATAATCCGTTGTCCCTCAATTGTATTAAAATGAATCCGGACTGCTATAACCACACTTTGAACCTGCTAATTATCAAGTTCTTCTCTTTGTTCTCGCTCCATAATTAAAACACACTATAATAGTGTGACAGGTTAACTGCATCCCTCTATATTTTTTATTTCTGTACATCGTTTTCGAAGACACCAGATAGCTATTGCACTATTCGTCGGAACATTTACTTCACAATAAAAATTTTATTGAAAAATTAAGATAATAATTTTTGATAATATGAGTTTGATTTTTAATATTTCCTGCGAAACTCTGTAGTTATTGGACCTTATAATTTAGACGAGAGCATAAATGACGTCTGTTCAGACATAAAGATTGACAAATAAATTTTCTAAATGAACCCGGAATACACTCAGTAAAATTTACTCATATTTGTCATGCAAGGCAATACAAAATTGCACCATATGGTACCCACGTAGTTTTAAAATCGGGCTCGGGATTCCAGCTTTTCTGTGGGTTTCTATCTCTACACCAAAATGCATGAAAGGGGTTCATTGGTTTAGGCATCAAAAAGTAGCAGACGGATAGTATTACTTTTACATTTTATAGTATTAGTAATACCATTTCTCAAAACACAGGCAAAGTGTTTATGGTCTTAACACTTTAACACCATGTATGTACATAACGCAATATAATCGACCCAGTATTGTTAAATGTACGTCGAATCTGATTGATTTGTCACTTAATTGATTTCAGTCTGTCTAATTAACTTCACATGTTTATAAACAATTATATTTTTCAAAAATGTTGATTTGTTTGGGCGCTCTATTCAACACGGGTATGGTTCAATCGGAAGAATTTAAAAATTTAATCGGAAGAGTTCAAAAAAAGAATCGGAAGAAGAAAAAGAATGAACACCAAACTAATTGTTCTAGGTGAGTATTAGTATATGTTTGAGAGAAGACTGGCTGGGTCGAAGGCAGCGGGCTTATGCTCGCGACCTGCCTCCCCAGTGAGGAAGCCTCCGGGCGGCGGTGGGGAACCGGCGTCCGGGTAACATAGGCTAAGGGTAAGAGCGGCGTGTTTGGCGTTCCCGGCACGCTGCTCTTGAGTCGGAGGGGTGGTGTGGTGGAGCCACCGATACCCCTGCCGAAGGCGGAGTCCCCTTTCGGGACTCGTGCGTAGTGAGCGGAAGTATGGCTTGCCGTTCCCGCTCACTAGTCTACGCACAGCGCAGAGAACGTCGAGGAGTTTAGTGGGTGGAAATCACACACGCCCCTGTCGCGTTTCCCCCGCGGCAGGAAGTCTTTAAAAGATTCTCCTCGTTAAAAAAAAATGTTTGAGAGAAGATAATATACTACTCCCCAAATGAAATGAGTATCCAGAGAAACGTAAAACTTTGTACTTTTCTAGAGTTTTTCTTAAGCAGATTTCTTTTGGTGGTAAAATGACGAATATATGAAAATTTAGAAGTCAAAAAATGTATATACTAATACTTTAACCTATCGATAAAAAACCTAAAATAATCTTCTTTTAGTGTATTAACAAATGCGTATATATTATTTATATGTACTAACAAATTTTCAGAATTTTCCCGCATATTCACTTGGAATGAATTTCAATGTCTTATTTTAATAGTTTAGAAGAAATAAATTTTCATTACGAATTTATATTTTCTTATTATGATTTTATACATACGAAAAGAAATTTCGTAATCTATACAAATGATATTTTTCTATACCACATGTTTAAATCTCTAATATCATTAATTTATAGACAGTAATCTTCTATATATATAAAAATGGATTGCTGTTCCTTAGTCTCGCTAAAACTCGAGAACAGCTGAACGGATTTATCTTATCTTAGTCTTGAAATGTTTGTGGAGGTTCAGGGAAGGTATAAAAGCTGAAAAAAATTGATTCATTACTGGGAAAACCATAAAAACAGCCCTTTTCTATTTCCCATACAAACGTTTTCTTTGACATTAGATTTGACAACTAACTAATATGTCAATCATTCTGTTGGATTGAAACAGGAGAAACCTGATTATTAATGGCCTCTAAAACGGAATAGAGTTCGCTCCGTCAGCTATACATATATGTATTACTAATGACGAAACTAACGCGGACGAAGTCGCGGGTAAAAACTAGTATTGAATAAAATTTGCTAAGTTATTAAG